GGAGGCGGCCATCAAGGCCCTCGATAACCCATCCGCCGTATTTCTCCTCCACCATTGGCGTCTTGGCCGGCGCTCTCTTCAGCTGAAAGCACCAGTGGGATAGGGGTTTTTTCGGGCATGTTATGAACCACGTCAATCCATGGACATTCCGTATTGTGTCCAGTCTTTTTTCCCCTTCGGATTTTTGCGGACGGCATGACGGCGAGTTTCGGTCTTTCTGTTCCAAGTGAAGGGATTCCCGCCGTCTGAATGGTATCTCTGGCGGATCCGCTAACAAACAAAGACCAAAACCAGTATCACCGGTGCCCTGGGAAGACGGCACGCGGCAGTCCAGGCAGGGAGATATTGGGGGGACACGACTTGTTAGCTCCGATACTCACGGTTTCACTCAAAAAAAAAAAAAAAAAAAAAAAAAAAAAAAAAAAAAAAAAAAACCAGCCTTCCATAGCATAGTAGTTCCATAGCCTTTAAAGCTCTACACTAGAGGCTTTGCCATCGAGTAAAGACATCCTTTGCTTGCAAGACATCTGTGTAACGTGTCTTTGCGGGATGGGGCGATCTTGCAACAACAACAACACATTCAATTCCACGCATCTCGAAAAGATCTTAATCCCGTCACGCACGGACAGCCCAGTCTGACAAAGGAGGATGGTACTAGTGTAGTGAGTGTACGGTACAACACCTCAATCTCAAAAGGTCTTCCCTGCAACGGCATGTACACTAGAATAGGAAGGAAAGAGGAGATCCCAAAGACTAAAGTATCCCTTCGGACGGCCTTACACAAGCGGGCCTGTTACTATGTACACAACCTAGAGGTATGTAGTGTAGTGTAGCATAGTGTAGCGTAGTGTACATATGGCCCAACAACGGTCACGACGGATGTGAATCGAGCGAAGCCCAGGACAGCGGCGTACACTAGACTGGAGGCATATGTGAGCCACATCTGGTCAGCATCACGAAATGCATCTCTGGCCCCAAAAGATCCAACAACCAGGCCGTCTTTGTGGATGCCCGTGCTTGCTGGCGCTCGTTGGTGGACCGGGAGCTGGGATGGGATGCCGTGTCGGGTTCACTGCTAAGGCCGCCCGCCGGGAACCAGACAGATCAAAACCCACCAAAACCAAAACCCACCAAGGGGAAAGTCCACCAAGCCCACCGGGCATAGCATCATCATCGAACAAGGGCCCCGCCAGCGCGCATGCAACGTGGGAGCGCCAAGTCTGAAACCCGACATCGTCCACTCTGTTGCTCGCCAGTCTTTCCATTCCCAGCTCCAAGGACCGAGGCGAGGACCCAGGTTTTTCATTCTTGCACCGACTTGCCTTTTTATTCTACATATCCTTTTGTATCCCATCCCGCCGCCTGCTTCTTTCCGTCCTCTTCTTTTTCCTTGTCCTCTCTTTCCCCTTCCAATGCTTTGAATCGGTTTCAGTTGCAGGTCTCGCAACTCCGACCCGTCTTTGACTCCACGCCCATTCGCGCTTCTGATCACGCTTCACCTCGCTAGACCGCCGCCGCCGCCGCAGTACCTCAGCACAGCAAAGCAGCGATCCCATCCACTGTACCGCACATCACCTAATTTGTGCGGCAGCGACTTCCGCAACAGCACAGCACAGCACAGCACGCTACAGCACATCGCAGCGCAGCGGCTGTCGGCATCACCGCCGCCTCACGTTGCACCCGGGGGGGTATCTAGCCGCCGTCAGCTGTCATAACGCAGCGCCGTCCGCGGCCCTCCTCCCTTAGTAGAGGTAGTACCTACCTACCTACCTAGGTACCTACCTAGCTCGACACCACCATCGCTCCGGTTGCCTGTTCCGTAACAACAAGAGATAGCGCATCCGAATCGCACCAACAAACAAACAAAAGCCTCCACCCTCCCCCGGCGCTCTGCCAATTTCCTTCAACAACAAATCCCCGACGATCGCGCAACGGTAATACGTTCGGACTCTGGGCGCCATTCCCTAGAGGTAGCGACCCTCTCGTATCCTCATCTCCCCATCCGGCGCCAGTGGGTGGAGACTGGAGACCATGGCGGATCCCCAATACGCTCGCCGGCGAGCTTCCCTGGATCCTTCATTCCACGCTGGTTACTCGCCTCACACACATTCCCGGTCGCGAAACGGCTCCAATGGCTTCGCCTCTCCTCTAACAACACCGCCGGTGACTGCCAACTACCAAATGCAAATGCCGATGCCGATGCATCTCGTCCAATCTCAATCGAACCATCAACGACGATCGCCCAGCGTGAACACTTTCAGCACCGTCTCCAGCGGAGGAGGAATGCCGCCCCCGCCAGCCGCCTACCGAACGTCGCCCACCAGCGACATCAGGAGATCTACCTCGAGTCGCTCCGGCGGCACCAGCGACCAACCAACCAGCTATGTCGCACTCCTACGAAAGCAAAAAGCGACGGTATGGTGCGACCGTGCGCAATATGAGGATCCCAGATTGCTAGCACAGCAGCGTGCTGCCAAGACGCGGGCAGCCATGGAAGTTTCGGGCGCGGTAACGGGCTCGGGAACGACCAGCGCCCGCACAATAACCGGTCTGTCTGCGGGAGGAAAGGTCGCCGCAAAGATTCGACACCACGGAAAGCCGACAGTCGTCGGATACATACCAGATGGCCACCACGTCGGCGTGGGAGGCATCCCTCTGAGACTCAGCGCGACCGAGGTGGAAGGTGAAGACAGCGACGATGACAACGACGCCTTGAACCGATACAATCACCGAAGAACCGGTAGCTCCAGTCGAAGCAGCACCGCCAGCGGGAGAAAGGGATTGGGCTATCGCGCTTCCGGACAACTCGGACCATCGAATTCACAAGGCTCCGGCTCTCGAAGGTGGACCCCCGGCGACACGCCAGAGCGACGGGGCTCCCTAGCGCAGACCAGCGAGCAGGCCTCTGCTGGCAACGATGCGGCTAGTGGAAAGGCCCTGAGCTTTGCCAGCGGGAGCAGTAGCGAGCGTCTAGATGCTGTCCCTGACCTCCAGGCCCACCCACAACGACAGCTGGCAACCAACAGCTTACTCAACGCCACTCTGACGCGCGAGAAGAGTGTCAAGAACCCCGAGGAGCTCAAGAGGAGAGGAAGCGTGGACGAAAGGACATATGAGAGGACAATGACATTCAACTCGTCCGGTCGCTTGTTCATCGCCAACCCTGATTAAAGCAAGCAGAATCGGGAGCGGATCGAAGGAGGAGATCTTTACTACGTCAGGTTTTGGGCTTTCCAAACAGCCGAAACCTGTGATACACAGCATGGGAATTTGTGCCTGAAACTACATGCATAGCTAGGCGCATGGGTGTTTGCGTTTTGTTCTTCTTTTTAAATCTTTTCTTTTTCTTTTTTTTTAAGGGACAAGGTTGTCAGGCACGGGCACGGTCACTGTCTCGAATGCACTGCACAACACAACAGGTCGTTCGATGGTAGCCAATTATTGCTTGGATAGGGTTATTCGGAAAAATAATACTTTGATTTGGGACACACACACACACACATCCTTGAGATACCATTGAATGCGATCTGGTTTTTGTTTTACTTTTTCCGATGAGACGTACATACACGCTACAACCACTATGCGATATGTGACAAGCATCAACTTAGTTGTCATCCTTACGGCGTCTACACTGCCGATCCTGTTTGGAGCGCTTAACGCTTACAAGCTCATTAAGTCATGGTATAATAGAACGGTTTACTAGTTTCTTGGTTTTCCAAGGGCCTCTGATCCAAGTTTCTAAATGGACCAAAGCCGGTAGTTCCGTCCTTACAGCCATATAATAAGGCCAGCTATAGGCAGAGCTATGGTCACACCCTTTGGAGAACTTGGCCCCATAAAACGCGCTGTTATAGGAGAATCGGGAAGCTGGGAAGAGGATGACGAAAGGACAAGACACAGCACATGGCAGCCTTCAATGCACCACGCCTAGAGTCAAGCCACATACGACGAGGCTAGAAACCTTGCCACGTTCACTTTTTCTTGGCCTTTGCAACTGAACTGAACTGAATTGAACCTGCTCGCATGATGAGAAAAGTTCAGGGTTAGGGCTGGTATTAGTGATGCCATGATGCCCGAGAAGTTGACTGTACTACTTACTGCCAGGCAAATGATGGCTGAGATGAAATCCACGAGGTCAGTCACTGAAGCTTCAAAGTCGTACATGAACAACAGGTGCGTGCTTCCACTGCCAATATGTAGCGTTGATCATCACTGCAGACCGTGGAAGTTCATGATAACTAACAGGCAGGTATATCAATGGTCCACCAATCCTTTTCCAAGCATCGAACAACAGCAGCAAAGATCACTCCACTCACCACTGAACCTGCAATCAATGCCAGGGAAACACACCCGACTTGGTAGATTGAACTCATTGATCCACGGATATCAAGTGTTCAAACCTCTGCCGCACTTCCAGCCACAGCGACTTTAATTGAACAAGAGAAGCAAAGCCACACACCCCTCTCGAACCTGAACTGACGCGAAATCACGCTCCGCTTCTCGTAGATTAGAAGTGGGGCACTTTAAGGCGCGGGTAGGGATCCACTTGGGCTAAATTGAACGGACGGCGCGACGGTGGTGTCGCCAAACGCGTCCCGCTCAGGCGGCAGCAACCGCGGACCAGGCACTCGCTGCAGAACCCAAGAATCACCAATCGGTTTCAGGCCTTTCAACTTAGCTACCCAACGACGGACCATCCGAAGAACCACCAACGGCGACATCTCGACCTTCCCGGCCTTCTCTGCAGCTGGTTCCGTTCCCATTCACCAAACAAACGCTTTTACGACGCCGGGGAGTAACCAGCAGTGGTTCATTGCTTTTATTTTACACCGCCAGCGCATGTACGACTGGCCTAATTGTGGGACCTGGACCTTGTCTGTTCTGAACTTTGGACCCCTCAACTTTGATCGGCCATTTTCAGACTAGACCGCGTCGGTTTGGACTGTGAATAGTGCGCGTCAACCCAACAGCCAAGTAGGACTGGGGAAGGCAACACCACCATGCCTTTGTTCACAACTTCCACAAGTGGACAGGAGGACTCCTCCTGTCTCAAGAGGTCACACGACCAATTCCGGGAAGAGGTTCCACCCCCAAGCTCTTTCGACGACAGTAAGTGCCGCGGTTTGAGATCAACCCGCGCTCCAAACGCGAGTGAAGCTAATCGCCAATCTCTACAGAGGAAAATGTTAGGTCATCACCACCCCCGTCTTCGGGACCCGCAACCCCCAGAGCCAGAAAAGCCAGTCCGGCATTGAGCGACGCCAGCAGCCCATTGGACCGTCTATCGCGATCCCCAAGTCTATCGCCCCCACGACTCGCACCTCTCACGATTTCTACAACCAATACGCCTTCTGCCCAGAAGCAGACATCCGGCGCCAAGGCTGCGTCGACAACTACAAAGTCGACAACAGGCGAACCGGCCGTTAAAAGGAAGAAGCTGACTCCTGAGGAGAAGGCAGCCAAGGCCGAGGCTGACGCTGCCAAGAAGAAGGAGAAAGAGGAGGCCAAGGCCAAAAGGGCAGTCGAACAGGCGAAACTGGAGGCAGAGAAGCAACAAAAGGCCGAAGAAAAGGAGAGGAAGAAGCGTGAGAAGGAAGAGGAACTGAAACGCAAGGAGGAGGAGAAGAAGCGAAAGCAGGAAGAGAAGGAAGAGAAGGAGCGCAAGAAACGCGAGAAGGAGGAAGAGGAAGCCAAAAAGAGAGGCCGACAGATGAAGCTCACATCGCTCTTCAAAATCAACCCAGCAACACCAAAAGAGAAGCCAGTCGCCGTCAAGGTCGAAAGCAAAGATGTCGAAATGACGGATGCACCGAGTCTCGCCAAGGAGAATGAAGCCTACCGGAGGTTATTCAAGCCCTTTTACGTGAAGGAGTTTGTCACGCTAGCCAAGAACCCCTTCGAGGTAGACGAGGAGACCAGAGAGGCCAAGTCGCGGATACTGGACGAGTACACCGAGGGAAAGCGGGCGGAGTTCCAGACACCGGAAAAGTTCGACCCCTTGGAGGCTCTACAGCTGCCTTTCAAGACCCAGAGGCGCGGACGCCCTTATCCGAGTGTGCGCAAGATCATGACGGAGATTTATGGAGAGTCTTCAAGCAGGGCTATGGACCTCACCACAGAGAACACTCAGTTCAGAGATGCGCGGGAGGCATTGAAAGCGGTACCAGTCAAGTGCATCAAATTCAGCCAAGATGTGCGGCCACCGTATGTCGGCACAATCAGTGGTCTTCCTCCGGGCGTCAAGAGTCTCTATAGACTCGCAAGAAACCCAACTTCACGAACCATTCTTCCCTTGGACTACGACTATGATTCGGAGGCCGAGTGGCAAGACGAGGAAGGCGAAGATGTGGAGGATCTGGATGATGAAGAGGAAGACTTGGAGATGGATGAGGATATGGACGATTTCTTGGATGACTCCGAAGATGTCGGCCCTCAGCGTCTCGTCTTTTCCGGTGGTATGGAGCCAGAGAGTACTGGCATATGCTGGGAGAATGAGAAGCGGTGCACAGTGAAGCCGGAGCTGTATCAGTGCCGGATGGAGATTATATTGGGTACGTCTCTCTGGATGTATCGTTATTGTGTGAACTATGCTGACCTCTTGTCGGTTGCAGAGTCCCTGGACGAAGAAACCAGCATTGACCCCTTTTCGACTGATTATTGGGCTTCGAAGTCGAAGACCAGCTCATCAGGTAACGAAAAATCTAGTGTGATCGCATCCGCATCCGTCACTGCTCAGACTACTTCATCATCCTCATCCTCACTCCTCCATCCATCCTCTGCCGCTACCACCACCAGTGCGAAGTCTGCCAAGGCCGGTGGCTCTCAAGCACCTACCAATGCGTTCCAGGCACTTACAAAGGGTACTACAGCAGGTAACTCTCCTCCTAACAAGGTTATCACTACAGCAGGCGCCTCAACTATTGTTGCTGCTGCCACTACTGCTGCTCCCTCAGCGACAGCAGCAGGTGGTGTTGCTGGTGGTGGTCGTCGACCTCCCGGTCGACAGAAGATGTCGGACCAACCCCTCCCTGCCGCTGCGCAAGAACAGCTCAAGGCGCTCATGCACGAGATGCCCATGGTTAGCAAATTGGGTATCATCGAGGTCTTTGCTTCCAAGCACCCGGATATGGTCCGGGCGCAGATCAAGGCTTCGTTTGAGTCCATGACTGAGAAGCAAGGAAAGAGTGGTTGGAAGTGGAAGGAGTAGCGGTCTTTCTCTACATACTAAAGGCGATGGAGTTCATGTGGATTCGAGTAACTGTGTGAGTATATATACCTAAGCATTTCTGTACAAGTTGGACGTACGTATATTCAAAGGGGGGAATGCATCGCATGCTCATGGTCTGACCATGGAGGGCAAACGATATTACATGATATATGAAGAAGGGAAAAGGAAGTTGGTAAATCAGCAAAGGGAACGTCACGGTCGGCGGGGAGTCAATGTCTATGGCCACCGTAACAGGCAGACAGACTCGGAGGGAGCGAGATGGGTTCTGTCATGTTTGAGTGGGGTACCTTTATAGGCGTTTGCAGCATACGTTCTTTGCGGTCTGGTTGTTGGTGATTAGGCACATCTTCCTGGCAAAATAGCCAGATAGGGGGAGTTCCAAACAGAATAGCGTGGCATGAATAATAACATGGACGTGAATGGTTCGATCTGATAGAGCCCACAGATGGGCAACGAATTAGGAGATGTGATCATCTACACTACATAAAAACAATCACCTCCAGTTCTCAGATTGATGCTGTTCTCCTGCACTGTCGTCGATCTCAGGGTCCAACTTTGAGACATATGATGCTGATGTATGTGGTTGCACAAGTTCGGCAGAAATACAACCGACCGCATAGGGCTTTCGATCTTTCAGCTCGAGGACGCAAGTTCACGTTGACGGTGGCCGTGTCCTTTCATCCGCCTAATGGTAGAAACAAAAGGCACCATGTCTCCTTATCCATTTTGAAATCATCACTCGTACGTATCCTACCTATGCTCATGTTATCACCATGTGGCGATCTGAATGGTTCGTTTATCCTCCAACAGCTGTGTAACAAAAACAAGAAAGAACGAGTCACCGTGACATTTTATCGTCGGGGCTCAGCATTCCAGCACCACAGCGAGCGCAGAAAAGGAAATGCTATCATCAATGACAACAAGGTCTTTGAGTTGACCAGAGGTATCCTAACGACGTCACCACCAGAGTAAATCGTGCATCTTGGTCTTCTTCAACCCTCAGTTACAGACCAGCATTAACACTAGCTTCAAGAACAGCAGCAGCGGTTTACACAGCAAGAAATAAAACGAAACCGTCAACCACCTCAGGCCGGACCAAAGACGGCTCTCGTTGGCTCGGGTAGCTCCAGCGGGGAATCAGTCTGCCATGAAAGCGGCCGGAAGACTATTATGGATATCCTGCGGAGATGCAACTTGGATAGTAAAGGTTCGGATGGGGGTTTGATGAGAAGCTGGGGGAAATTGGTGCAGCATATATGAGCAAGGTGGTGTGGTCAGGGTGGTAAGTTACTGAAAGTGATATTTGGTGCGAGAACTTACTATCACACGGCTTTAGGAAGAAGCGCAACGTATGCGTAGCTTGTATTCTTGCGGTGATTGTCTATGCTAAAAAGTCACCTTGTATATATGGTTGCTCCTGGCTTGCATGTATTTAGTCTCTTGACCGAACACAATGGGGTCATGGAGAACAGATGTGCATTGGGTGTACGTATAGTAGTAGAAATGTTTATTTTAGTGTCCATACCAAAACCAACTTAGATATCATGTTATGTAGACTATCTTTCTTCAAAGTTCTATCGCGACCATGTTCCCATTCCAAGATGATTCCGTCCCAAGCACTTGCCCTTCTCAATAGGACATTGACTCATGGATCTCGTAGTTGCTGCACCGTGTTTATGTTAGTACTACACATGTGGGTTCCATGATCGCCTTCAAAAGCTTCCAGGAGAAATAGTCAATCAGAGAATGCAAGGAAAGGGGAGACTCACGGATCATACATGTCCCTCTCTCCATACTGCCGATCATACAGATCGTGCGCCTTCTCCCTAGCATGCCGTTTGGCCTCTTCGCGATCCACCTTTCCCTCCAATCCCCTCCGCTCAATCATCTTGTCGACTTCGGCCCCAGCCAGGGCAGCAAGCGCCTCCTTGGCCACGCCGTGGTTGACGGGTTTACCCTCGCGCCGCTGTTCTTTCTCCCACATGTGCATGGCCTCGAAGGCAACGGCGCCGCCGAGAAGCTCGTGCGAGAGCTTTGGCTCTTCGTCACGCTCGGAGTAGAATTCGCGGTGGGCCGACTTGGCTTCGTCTAAGAGGGAAAGGTGTTAGAGATGAGATCATGAGGTTGGCACAATAGCCGATGTGTGTGACTTGATTCAGCCAAGGAGACACATACCAAAACCGAAGAAACCCATGATGATATATCGAAGTAGGTATAGGTTGGAGGTCAATGTTTAGATGAATGTTGCGCGCAATTGAGTAAAGAAAGAGAAAAGTTGCGAGGAAGTAATCAGTTCAAGTAGGTATGAGCCATCAATGATATAAATACGAGATTCCTCCCGCCTCCCCCCCCCCCTCTCGGCTTCTGAAACGCTCTGACGTACGAGTTGCCAAACAGTTCATCCAATACCCACCCTCTCTCTCTGTTTCGGGTATGTCGGTATCCATCTTGTGATGGCAGTGCAGAGGGTGGGGAACTAAAAACCGAACCACCTGACAGCTGAAACTCCACGGACAGTTACGCGTATACCTTTTGCCGGCATTTAAACGGGTTTACAGACATTCCCTCGCTTATGCTCGAATGGAGTGAGCACAGGTATCTGTAACACGATTAGTGAAAGGAAACATTGGTTTGGGGATGCAGAGTGGGGAGAGCACCACGGAGCATCCAGTATACTACAGGCTCTTGATGATCGTTTAGACACAGAGAGGGCAGATATGGGAGGAAAGGTTCGAATCATCATTGCTTCTGTGAATTTCTGTTTCAACCTGTGCGTCTGGTGATGGGTAAGTTTGTGGTTTTCACCTCGACCGGAGAAAACCTCCTTTTATGAATACTGTAACAGCATGTGCAGTAGTGGTTGGCCACGACTTGACTGCATAGGTACCATCCATGTGACGTGATAGAAGCGGGTCCCACCGACAAACCGGTACATGCCCCATGTTGTCAGCGGCAGGTCCTTCCCTACCTCTATCACCATATACGCCCTGAATTCCAGACCTTCCCCCAACAGCTTCAGTACCCAGCTTGCGTGGTAGAGTGCTGGGACAGGAGATACATGGTATTTTCGTTGGACGGTAGGTACCTAGTCAACTCGGGACTTGGGAAGTCGAGCTTTTCGCTCCTTTGCTTTTCGTTTCTTCTTTTCAAGTGACGTCGTTGATTGGGTTCAGTTACTCGTCAGCAGGTTGAGCCAAGGGGAACCTCAAGTACGGGAGAAGATTGGTGATTAAGGGTTCAACTGCCCCCACGCCAAGACGGGTTACCCCAGAACTTGGCAAACCTTATTTGCGTGCCCCCAGCGGACGTGCCCAAGGGACTGCGCAGTGTACTTTGGGGTTAGGGTTGAAGGAGGGACCTGAACTGATAGCCCCACTTAACCCAGCGCGTGCCCCGCAGTAAACTTCCAATTTTTGTCGAGAAAATTTCCAAAAGGGCGACTCGGACCTGGATCTGGACCAGCATCTCGACCCGTCTTTTTTTTTTTTCTTTTTTCTTTTTTTTTTTTTTCTTTTACCAAATTATTGTTACCCAGCCGCGACGCTGATAGACCGTTTGCCTTCTCTGCCGGCCACATCTACATATTTACCAATCCTTACGTTTTTCTGAACCCGCCCGAAATAAAAACAGAACAACAAACAAATCTGGATAACATTGTTATTGTTCATGACCGAAGCCATGACGCGACCAACCGTGTCCCCGTTCCTCGAACCAGGTCTGCGCACCAAGCCCCGCTCGCTCGCCATTCTCCAGCTATCGCGCGACAATCTTCTCCCCATCTACCTTCAAGAAGCCTCGGGCGAACACGACGGCTATGCTGAGGGCGCCGTAGTCAACACCCGCTATGGCTCCTTCCCTCACTCCACCATGTTGAATGTCCCCTGGGGCTCTCAAATCAGGGCATCCAAGGTTGACACTGGCTCCCGTGGTCGCAAGAGGAAAAGAGGCCCCAAGGACGATGCCAGCCGCGACGACGCCGAAGAGAACCAGCCCGAGACCGCCGACAACAACGACACCGAGGCCACCGGTGTCAAGCAGGCCGTTGCCGACGACAGCGGCTTCATCCACGTGCTCCCTCCCACTCCCGAGCTCTGGACCCAGAGTCTTCCCCACCGAACACAGGTCGTCTACACCCCCGACTACAGCTACATTCTGCACAGGATACGTGCCAGACCTGGCTCCACGATCATCGAGGCAGGCGCTGGCAGTGGCAGTTTCACCCACGCCTCCGTCCGCGCCGTTTACAACGGATACCCTTCCAGCGCCGAGGACAGGAAGGGCAAGGTTTTCAGCTTCGAGTACCACGAGGAGCGCTACCACAAGATGAAGAAGGAGCTTACCGACCATAACCTCGACGGCCTCGTTCACCTTACACATCGTGACGTCTACAATGGTGGCTTTCTGATCGACGGAAAGAGCCCCGAAGCCGACGCAATATTCCTCGACCTTCCCAAGCCCTGGGAGGCCCTGCCGCACCTCTCGCGACGCAAGCCCCAGACCCAAGCTAAGGAGGGAGAAGATATCGCCGCCGAATGGGTATCACCGCTGAACCCCAAGAGGGCCGTACACATTTGCACCTTTTCTCCCTGCATTGAGCAGGTCACCAGGACCGTTTCGGCCATGCGCCGCCTCGGGTGGGTCGATATCGATATGGTCGAGATCGCCAACAGGAAGCTTCACACCATCCGCGACCGCGTGGGCCTCCATTACCAGACCGATCGCGGCGTCAACGTCTCACCGCACGATGTGGAAGAGGCCCTGGAGAGGCTCGCCGAAATCGAGGAGCGCGTCAGGGAGCAGGCTGCGCGCCCGAGGGGTGCGGGAGAGGATGGCGCAGAGGATGCGGACACTGTCATGAAGAATGGAGATGATGCAGCCAAGAAGGACAACGACAAGACGTTGGCCGAGCAGCCGCCATTTCAGACTCCCTGGGTTGATGGTCGCCTCATCACTAAGGGTGAGCCGGAGATCAAGACCCATACGTCGTACCTGGTGTTTGCCGTGTTGCCCAGGGAGTGGACCGAGGAGGACGAGGCGGCGGCGTTTGCCAAGTACCCCTGCGGCAAGGAGAAGGCTGTCGTTGGTAGCATTGACAAGCAGACGAGGAAGAAGGAGAGACGGGAGCAGTTGCAAAAGATTGGCGACAGGAAGGCGAGGAGGAAGGAGAGAGCCGAGAAGATTGCTGAGGCTGTCGAGTGAAGCACGCTGCATTCGGATCTTTCTCTCTTTTTTCTCTTTGATTCCCCTCTTAGCGTTTTCCAGAATACTGCATTGATGTCCACAAACATGGGCGCAGGTTCAGCCCGTATCTAATTGTCACACATGCACTTAAACTTCCCACTTTGCAATTGGACGATGTGATTGGTTGGTTTCCAATGCTCTCTCAAGGCTCCATAATGCAGCAGCACTGCAGATAAAGAGCTTCTCGATTAAACAAAATCATCCCGGTGCATGCCTTTGAAGCCTGGTCCAAGTGGGCGACGACTGGAGTTGTGGGTACAAAAGGCGAGTTATCGACTTGTAAACTTGGACCTGGATTTGTCTCTAGAAACATCAACACTACTTTTGGCCAAATAATCGTGCAATAACTTGCTCATTTCTCGAACCATCACCAGTTGAACAGCTGATGAAAAGAAGTTTGGAAATTCATTGCAGTCCACTTTATCTGCGCGAGGATCTTCCCTGCAGTGGCGAAGCCTCGAAGAGTTCGTCCCGTTTGCCACATTTTCGCCATTGAAACTAAAAGATTCAAGACAAACTCAAAGGTCAACAGACGACGAGAGTCCAAATATTGCACATCTATAAAACCTGTGGTATTGAGACTGGTCGAGCTTTTCTTTCGCAAAATCGAGCCACCAATACATACGGAGCTGCATCCGGTTCAGCCGAGTACCACCGAGTGCCGTGGAATTATCTTGATCGTCTAAGAAATCGATAGTCTCGACAACGAGAATTCTCTCGCTTCGCTTATCACCGGGTGGACCACCGCGACACACGTTTACTCCCGGACCGATCTTTTTTGACTTTGTCGTTTTCTCAACGGTCAGCAGTTGATAACAATCCCCGCCGTTCAGAAAAATACACATCCAACCCCTTGAATCACCTAAACAAGAGCAAAGAGTCATTTCCCCTTTCTTCTCATTTGCCGATATTCATTGGCTTTGTCAGAAAACTCGCATACCTGCCCTATCAGACCATCAGACAAGTTCTTCACTTCCTACACGACTTTTCATTGGGAGACTTGCACTATCGACATATCCGTCTCGAGAACTTCTGGAGTCTCATCAGCCTCCTCGCTCCATCAAGGTTCACAGGCACAACACCAAAGGACTCCACACACCAGCACTGCGTCCACCATCACCAATCCTCAACTACCATCCATTGTCACCACCAAACAGCAGAGTATGGTGACTCAAAGTGACGGCAACCCTCTACAGAAGGGGCACGATGTCGAAGCCAACCTCCAATCCATCGAGGCCGACGAGAGCAAGCCTGCTGCACCACCTTCCGGTCTCTGGGGGTATTTGTGTTATTATGGCCACAAGGTCGTTGTAGCTGGACGGATTGAGCTCCAGGGAATCTCCCCCATTCCCGTCAAGGAGAGGACAGTTACCAAGACGCTGAACATCTTTACCTTGTGGTGGTCAATGAGCTGCAATATTCTTCCGTAAGTTTCTCATACGCCGAGATAATTTCAACTTGACTAACACGGACAAAACACAGCATTACATTTGGCATGCTAGGTCCAGTATACGGCCTCAGCCTACGGGACAGCTGCCTGGTTATTCTCTTCTTTACTCTGTTGTCGACTCTCTTACCGGCTTACCTCTGCACTTTGGGGCCAAAGTTGGGCATGAGACAGATGATTCAAGCTCGCTATTCCTGGGGGTACGTTTCCCTTTCTCTTCCCATCTTCTACTTATCTACACTCTCTTGTAGGTCATCCATCTAACAAACACCCACACTCAGCCGCTACATAATCTCCCTTCCCGTCCTCCTCAACCTCGCCACCATGACCGGCTTCTCCGTCATCATCGTCATCACCGGCGGCCAATGTCTCTCCGCCGTCGCCAATGGCCACCTCTCCATCAGCGTCGGCATCGTCATCATGTCCATCCTCACCCTCATCATCTCCTTCTGCGGCTTCACGACCCTACACATGTACGAGCGGTTTGCCTGGATCCCCGCCGTCATCGCCATCATCGTCGCCGTCGGCTGCGGCGGCAAGTACCTCCACCTGCAAAACCCTCCCGCCGACCCCCCTACCCCACAGGGCATTCTGAGTTTCGCCATGATCGTCGCGAGCTACATGATCCCCTGGGCCTGTCTGGCTTCGGATTTCACGACGTACCTCGTGCCCTCGACGCCATCATGGAAGATCTTCACCTACAGCTACACCGGCCTCGCGCTGCCCACCATTCTGCTCATGTGTCTCGGAGCCGCCATCCAGGGCGCCATCCCCTCCGTCCCTGCCTGGAGCGAGGCCTACAACGAGACGCTGGTGGGCGGTGTCCTGCAAGCCATGCTGGCGCCCGCCCACGGGTTCGGTCGGTTCCTGGTGGTCATTCTGTCTTTTACCTTGCTGGGTAACCTGGCGGCGACTTCGTACTCCATCACGCTCAACTTCCAGATGTTGGCGCCGGTGCTCTTCAAGGTCCCCCGGTACCTGTTTGCCGTCATCCTGGCGGCCATCTTGATCCCCGTGAGCATCAAAGCGGCTGCCGACTTTTTTGATAGTCTGGAGAACTTTGTCAGTCTGATTGGGTACTGGTCCTCTGCGTTTTTGGGAGTGGTCATGGTCGATCATCTGTGGGAAAAGAAGGGAGATTGTGGTAGGTATGATTTGGATGCTTGGAACGATGCGAGCAAGTTGCCGTGGGGCGTGGCGGCGCTGACGGCCTCGGTGGCGAGCTTTGCACTGGTGATTCCGAGTATGGACCAGGTGTGGTGGCAGGGGCCGATTGCAAAGACGACGGGCGATTTGGGGTTCGAGTTTGCGTTTGTTGTGAGTGGGCTGTTGTACCCGCCGTTGAGGATGGTGGAGAAGAAGATTAGTGGGCGATGATGTGGTGAAGATGAGGTTGTATGGGGGGAGGAGTGGGGAGTAATGTGTGTGACGAGGTTGGATGAGAACCGCTTAAGAACTTAAAAGGAGTGATGATATATAGGGAGGATGTTTGTAAACGATTCAACATAATGGGTGGATTATCTACTTAATGATAATGGGCAGCAAAACTTATGGTAAAGGTGTTAGACCCAGGCCTTTCAACAGACAATGAGGGGCGTTTGGGATGCAAGAAATATTAGGGTTTGATACACTAGATCAATACCGAATGAGTCGGAAATGTATTAGACGCAAAGCTGATTTGGCCGTACACCTTCTTAAAAGTTCGTCTCTCGAACTTGATTTAGCGCTACGCATGGATATTGTGTCAAGCTTCACGGTTTCATGATCTCTCGTCGTCCCCATCAAAAACTCAGCTACAGACTGAGCATCAGTCACTCAATTCCAGAATCACCAACGCAGTTCCCATTCCCTTCAACCCATTCTTCGTCAACTTCCCCTCCTTAACCTCCCACTTCCCATCGCCAATGCCACCACTTTCATCCCAAACCACCTTTTCAACTTTACTCCCGCTCGGCACGTCCAACTCCACCAACCCCTCAATATCTTCTTCCCCAGTATTAACAACGCTAACCAACATCTTCTTGTCCTCCTTGTCCACCCATCCCGCCGCATCAACTCCCTTCCCCTCCGTACTCAACTTCTCCGGCCCCCTCCCCTCAACCAACAACCCCACCACCCCATCTTCCTCTCCACTAACCACCCTCGCCAACCTCCCATGCGCCTTCCCTAGCTCTTCACTCGCCGGCCACACCCAACTCAAAACCCCCTTCACGCCTCTATTAATCGCCAACAACACCATCACCCAACTCTCCTCCGGACTAGGGTCTCTCGCCCAGTACCCCTCCCCATGAAAAGCCTGGGGATTAAACATTTTGCTCTTGGGCCACGCCCCCAACCATTTCTCATACTTATTCATATCCTCAACCCTTTTAGGTACATCCATCACGGACCCCGCGCAATTATCGCATCCGCAATCGCCATATGTCGAGTTACATGGTGTTCCCCACTTGGACTGGGTGAGGTTAGCAGACGACTCTCTGATGCCAATCGGGTAAATGTCCGCCATGAGAATGTCTGCTCCTGAAGAGTATTGAGAGAAGTAGTAGTTCTGGCAGTTGAGCACCAAGGCAACGGGGTGGTAAGGGTCGACGGACGAAATGGTGGCATAAGTCTCGATGGGAGCGGAAAAGGGCGCTTGCCACCCGTCTGGCTCGTCGACGGACCAGTAGGCAAAGAGAGCTTCCCCCCCGCTGTTATGTGTCGTCGTCGAGGAGGAGGCGGCAGTGACTTGCTCCTTGACCCAGGTCTGGTTGGTGTAGTTCTCGCGCAGGTCGAACATGTAGGGAAGGTTGATGCTGTCCATGTAGGCAAACGCGGAGGCGGATTCGGGGTAGTGAGAGAGGGGAACCATGCCTGTTAGACCGAGGTCGGCGTAGGATTGGATGACGGAGGAAGAGTTGGGAAGGGCGAGGAAGTTGTCGTAGGAGGCGTAGAAGCCGTAGGGGAGGATGGGTTTGAAGGTGTGGTTGGAGGCGGCATTGAGGTGGTGAAGGCCGCCGTTGAGGTTGTCGATTCTGGTGACGCTGCCGGAGGACTTTGAAGGGAGGTAGAGGAGGGTAGTTTTGACTGATGGGCCTTTTGTTGAATAGGTGAGTGTAACTTGGATGGGCGAAAGACTTGGGGTGAGGTCGGTGAGGTTGAAGGTGAAGAGCTTGCCTGTTGAGTTGACGGGGATGGAGTCTTGGACTAGAACTTTGTCGTCTGTGGTTGTTTTAATATGGAATTCCACATTGTTTGAGGTGTTGTTGTCCCGGTGGGTTCCATGGAACTGGGAGATGTCGGCATTGACAATGAACTCGCCCGTCTTCTCGTTTTCCAAGTAGAGGCTGTATCGGGGCTTGAACTGGACGTGTAGGAGAGGTGCTAGAGGGTCTGGTGTCGGAGGAAGTGTTTGACCACCGGGATCAAAAGAAGGATAGCTTGTCTGGGTTAGTTGCCGTTCCCATGATAGCCATGGTTTCCCACTTACTCTGGCTTATACGCTTTACCACACCATCTTGGCCAGTCCGGGTGGTTTCCCGTGTCCTGCGAAGCAACACTGGTGATAGCACCTAATAGAAGCCATGATGCGGACCACATTGTTATCACAGCTGTTGTCCCTGAAATGATGTTTCTAAAGGTTCACGATATCGAGGACTTGCGGATACAACAGCTTTTATGAGTGACATAATCACCCCTCAATCGCTTGGTTCCGTCCTTTTCTCACCGTTCTGTTGTGACACTGCAAACACTCTACGTAGTGTAGTAGCCTTGCATCCCGAGTGAGACAAACTGACCAAGTCGGCCTCTCACCGATGAGGACAGATATCTCTGGTGCTATGTGTACCAGGAAAGGAAGGTTGTGCTAGCTGCAAGGTGACATAGGATGACGGCCTTCCCCTTCCCGGCAATGATCGTAGCTTCTTGATGTCGAGAACATTACATAGTCTCGTGACGTGCGGAAGGCAGGATATGGCACCCTCTTTACGGGTCTCCCACTCATAACGGCAAACATATACCTTTATGGCCAAATATCTTCATCTGAAGATGTGCCATGGATAGGTAAGTAGGTAGGTAGTCTCGATTGCCAATTCATCTCATGTTGTACCGTTGGGGTTCCAGGATCACTTTACGCCAACTGTCCGGTCACAAAGTACTTGGCGAAGAATGGAATCGCGACGTGGCCCTTACAGCACTGGCATCGACTCCTGAAGATGGCATTTATTGGTTACAGTGTTTACCTGTCGATGTTTTCTTGACGTTGAAGTTGTTCCTGAAAAAAAAGAAATGACGATGCCGCCCGGGACATCCCGTCAAGGTTCCAGCGCCTCTTTGTACAGTGGAGCACCACCTGTTCACTGCCGGACCCCACCGCATTGTCCTGAAACTCCCGTCTGGGGGGCGAGTGGGGCATTCCCGACAGCGGCAGTGGTGCCTGACTTACAGGGGACCACCAATCACAACAATGGAGTTGGACGCTGTTCACAGCCACCACAGGCCGCGCACACCTCACCCCCAGCGCCAACCGCGCCGCAGATGGAAGATCACCTCACCCATACGGGATGAGGCGCATACCTCTACCTCTAGAGGTCCAAGTCTAGGGCTCAACTTAGAGAGAGACGCGCAATCATGCGGCGCTAGGGTACTATAGGTAGTCATCTGCGCAGCCTCTTAGGTTTACGAATCACTTGTTTGTTGAGTATTCTTCAAACATCAGGCTGGCCTGATGATTTGTTTGATTTAACCATCTCTCAAACTCTTTTTCCTTCTTTGTCACGACCTTGTGACTACTCAAGTCGTCGACTAACTGACTGAACAATCTCGACACTCACTCGCTACCAGCTACCTAGTCTAGTCCTACAAGCCTAGAACAACCACTTACACACAACATGGCACCAACAAGTGGAATCCCATCCCCCCTCCTCGTCTCTACCACCACTCTCCTAACAACAACAACCCGCCGTGACCTCTCCCTCCAATCCGACACCCAAAAGATCACTCTCGGCATCATCTTCGCCTACATGCTCGCCATCTTCATCCTGTGGAACGTGCCCTACATCCGCTCCATCCTCTGGCCCTTCAAGATGCTCGTCATCGCCTTCCACGAGTTCGGCCACGCCATCACCTGCGTGCTCACCGGCGGCCGCGTCCTCTCCATCAGCCTGGACCCGCGCGAGGGCGGGGTGACGCACATGCAAGGTGGCCGGAGCGGACTAACCTTGCCGGCGGGGTATTTGGGGAGTTCACTGATCGGGGCGCTGTTGACGTTTTGCGGGTTCGATATCGTGGCGAGCAAGGTGGCTAGTTTTGTGGTGGGCGGGTGTTTCTTGTTGACGCTGTGGTGGGGGAGGAGGGATTGGTTGACGATCGGCACGATCCTGGCGGCCGTTGGGTTGTTGGTCGGGTGTTGGTTCATTGCGCATGCGGAGGCGTTGAGGTATGTGGTGCTGTTTATTGGGGTTATGAGTTCGTTGTATAGTGTTTGGGATATTGTGAGTACCCTGCTTTCCTTCCTCTTTCATCTTTGGCGGGTTTTGCTGGTGATGGGCAACGTTGCTGACGATGAAGGAAACAGTGCGATGATTTGATCTTGCGCAAAGTCAACAGCTCGGATGCCAGTGTCTTTGCAAAGAGATATGGAGGTTCTTCGCAGTGCTGGGGAGTCATCTGGTCTATTATCTCGTTGGGCTTCATGGCCTGTGGCATCATTGCCGGTATTGCTGCGTTTCCGCAAACGAGGGCCCAGCAGCAGGAAGATTCGCAGCATTTCATTCCGACCAAGTTTTGATGATGGATTTAAGGACCCGGCGTGTTCGAGGGAAGGGAGCATGTGTTGGTTGCACAATTGGCGTTGGATCATTGAAAGTCATGATATTATGGAGGCATGGACCAAGAAGTAGCCTGGTCGTGGAAGGTACGGATGAAGACGTGGAGTTGATGATACCCGTTGGCTTTTGTTTAGGATCGTTCGGACGGAGGGTTGAACACAGCAAGTATTGTTCTTTCTGTGCATAAAAACGGCCGATATAGATACACTACTGCGTCTTCATAGTAATAACCCTCGTTTACCAAACACGAATCATTCTCTTTCAACGTGATATTGGGAGCAAGCCCTATTTGAAACCCTCAGATACATCTACACAAACTCTATGTAAGATCCAAGATAACCTCCACGACCAAGTCCTTTTGTAATTTAGGTTAAGAAAACCAGGCCTTCGAAAATGCCGTTCACATTTGTCATTGGATAAATTCTCTTGCACGACTAATTGGCAATGGTCAGTCATGACCACGACGTATTTGGTCAGTTCTACCAGGGGACATAAGACGCGTGCTGGATGTCAAAGTTACGAACATAACATTATTCTACGAAGTATATCATCTATACTATATGCATTGCTCTAAGACGATAGGAAATCGAAAGACCATGCTGCGCAGTAACACACCACCCCTCTCTGCATGCACCATAATGTCACATCAAACCCGAGTCAAATCATCTCTCTCTTATCCAAAGAAAAGTAACTCATCATTCAGTTCATTACAGATTTAAAACCCATCATTAACACCACGCCATCCCAGTCCCATCATAAACACATCAAGTCAGATCAAACAAACAGTCCTACCAGACATCTAAGCCCTCCACTCCTTATCAACCTTCTCCCACTCATCCAAGAAACCCTTGTAGAACTTGACACCAAGACCGGGGTCCAAGCTACCAGTCGTGGCACGGATACTGTGCATGCTCAACTGGGGAATACCGACATCTGCCGCCTTGACACCCATAGCACTGCTGAGCATAGGGCCTACGGTACCGCCGGACCGGCTGTCGTTGCGGATCATGTGCCTCTGGTTGACGCAGCCAGAAAGCTCGGCAACGCGGTCGAGGATGGCCATGGACACGCTATCCGTGGTCATGTGCGCCGAGGCATCGACACAAAGGGCCACACCGACGTTCAAGCGAGGAGAGTGATCGGTCAGGTTGGTTTGGGTAAAGTTGGGGTGGGCAGCGTGGGTCACGTCCGACGAGACGAGGAAAGAGTTGGCGTACGTCTGGCCCATGAGACCGGGGCCGAGGCCGGTGCCGCCGATGAAAGCGTTTTGGTAGAGAGTGTTTGTGTTGGCAACTAGAGCCTCGACGGTGCGCTCGATAACAATGGGGAGGAAGTTACCGCGCGCACCCTGGCGGAGGAGGGAGCCAATCTCCTCGTCGTCGAAGAGCGCTACGAGCTTGATGACGCCAGAGTCCTCATCGTCACGGGCGTGGAGGAGGGCCATGAAAGCGGCCCACGAGCAGAGCTTGTCGTCGATGCGGCCGGCAAAGATGAACTCCTTGTCGATACCACCAACTTGGGCGGGCTGAGAGTCGTAGAGCTCGAGCTCCCAGTTGAGAATGTTGGTGTACTCCTCAATCTTGAGCTGGGAAGCAATGAGCTTGACGAGCTTGGGAGGCTGGGTAGAGACGAAGGAACCCTTGGGGCCAATGGGCTTCTCGGAGGAGGCGGTGGAAGAGGAGTTAAGGTCGCTGTTGTCGAGGCCAATGATGGGGGTCATCTCGGTCTCCTGGTTGTTGTGGCCCGTCATACCAATGCCGAAATGGGGAGCCAAGGTAGGGATACGAGCAACTGGAAAGTGTGTGTTAGCTTTCATCGGATGGAATTGGGTTGGGGGGAGTCAACATACTGGGCCAATCAAGCTTGACGACCTTGGTAGAGGTCTTGCCCGTCTCGGGATCCTTAACAATGACACGACCACCGATGCTCAAGTCTCTGTCCCACCATGTGCTGTTGAGAGCGCCGGCATACTGGGCAATACCGAGCTGGACATAGCCATCGTGGCTAGGCTTGGTGCTGATAGGCTTGAGGCGGGCCGTGAGGGCGTCGATGTGACCGGCGACCATAGCAAGACCGTTGCCTGGCTTATACGCCTTGCCGACGGCCCAGGCGATGATGGAGCTGCCATTGCGAGTGGTGTAGTACTTGCCGCCGGGCTTGATCTGGCCAGACCAGGAGTCTCTGCTGTGAAGCTACAAATGACAAGGCGCTTAGTCAGTTTCGGTCCTTGTGCCTCGGTCGGTTGTGGTGTTTCAACTGCGGGAGGGGGGCTGGGAAGCTGTGACGGCTTACCTCTTTGTAGCCGGCCTTGTCGAGCTTCTCCTTGAAGTAACCGACAGCGTGGAAAACTGTTGGGTTTTCGGTCATGAACTCGAGGTATGGCTTGGTGAAAGCCTCGGGCTTGATGTCCTTGGCATTGACCTGGTTGGCAGCAACAGGCTGCTGGGGCTGCTGAGGAGGAGCGTAGTATGTTTGCGAGGCCATCATGGACTGCTCGAGGGCTTGCGCTCGGAGAGACATCATGGATGTACGGGCAGCGAGATATTCGGGAGTGGCGCGAACCATGTTGTATATCTGGGTGATGCGAATGGCTTTGTATGTTTTGGAGAAGAGAAAGAAGAAGATGATGGGGAGGAACAAGAGGATGAGATGATGACACGCACGAGATGGCAACAGAAAGGAAGGCGGTCGGTCGGTGAACAGCTTCCACTTACAAAGGTGTACATGTACAGTAGGTACCTACCGGCTAGTGTATAGGTTGCAGCTACAGCCTAGGTACAGCTTTAGACGTAGGGTACAGCACAGCGAGTAGAGGTAGGTAGGCGGTGCCCCGGTTGCCAACAATCCGTCCAGGTGACGCGCTTATCACTGGCTAGGCGGTTCTGGGCAGCTGGAGTCAGCTACATGGTGGGCTCGGTGGGGTACTTGATCCTATCAAATGAGCTCTCTGATAGGCCAGATTTGGCCTTTGATGTCCCCGCGGCCCCAACCCCCGGCTCCTGCCTCATGCCAGGGCAAGATCGGCGCTAAGGTACGCTGCAGTGATAAGCAGCCCTGGGTCAGAGGTCCATAAAGTATAAGCCGGTAGAGCTCTCCCAGCTCAGTTGTACATTTGTACATATCGACCTTGACTTTAGTGGCAATGATGAAGCAGAATACGTACAAGACAAGCACTTGCTGGATTTAATCCTCATCTTAGAAGTGAACTTGTTCGCGTCCAAGGTCTTTTGTTTCTGTCAGTCAGCATCAATTTTGTGTACCTGACGAGTGTCTCATCGAGACATCCGCTTGCGTCCAAAGGTTCACTCATCGATACCGCATTCCTGAGATACCTCACGGAATTAGCAAACTCAGTCTCATATTCTAAGTCTGATCCTGCTTACCCAGAGATATCGTGCTGTCAAAAAGATCACGAGACAAACACATCAGAGCTGATCGTCAGTTCAAGCATGCAGAATAGTCAGGTAACCCATCAAGACTCTGTCATGGACCAGTTTGGAATGCTCACTTTGGTAATTCAGTCTCTCCAATACGTGTAGTCAGGTCAGTCGGATATGGTACCCGTATCCGTGCTCTGTTCACTTGGCAGTACCCATAGCGACATGTGCTGGGTAGAGCTGAGGTTCATGCAAATCTATTATATTTGTACGACCCTGCGATTTATGTTCAGGAACACCCGAAGGCTGGATTTTTGAGGCAAGTGTGCAAACAATAAAGCATGACGTAGTCCAAGTTCTGTCCAGCACACTCTGATCCTGGCAAGACACCTTGTTTGGAAAATGAAGTTGAATAGTGAAACCATGTTGAGATTTGAGCACGACATTGACCGTAACACGTCCTCTAACATTCTCTTAGCGAGACAATATGTTTGAGTATTGGTCAATAGGCAAACTTGAACATACCAAGTCTTCAACCCCATTCCCCTTTCTGCTTATGGGGCACGTTTGGTGTAGATATCGGTAAATCAGTCGTCGCAAACTGGCCTATCAGCAAGTATACACATCATCTGAAGCTCAAACTCTTCCACTCCAACTCTCCTCTCTTACGCCTATTTTCAACAGGTTCGCCATCCATCAACGCCCCGACATAGCACTGACCGAGAACCTCAAAAGATCCGTCACCCATTGAATGCTTCCTGATCACAAGCGGCATACGGCAACCGCGAATAATAGCCAAGCTGTCACCAGGTCCGATCTTATGGGTTCCTGACCCGAGATAGCCTTGTTTCGTGATGAAAAATGTCTTTTCCCTTGTATACAAATCCGCACGTTGGAAAAACTTAAGAACATCGTCATACGTAGTTTCTTGCTTATCGCGGTACTGATTTTCCGGTGGTTTAGTCTCGTACTCGAAATATAGGAGCCTCTCGTCTTCAGGAAGCCCCCAAAGTCTGCAAAACTGTTTAATGTTCTCTTCATCTTGTATGTGCGGTTGTGGCAGCAATCGGTTGGGGCTGGGTGACTGGCGGGTTCCCAAGTCAACTGACCATACCATCATCTGATCGTAAAAACGCGGCTCATGCTCCTTGCACCACTGTGCAACATCATGTAGACGGTCGATGTATCCAAAGTACGCCGTAAACCCTGCCCACAATCTTTCCATATGTTTTATGTTGTTGGTACGGGAGTATCGATCTTTTGAATCATCATCTGGTAGGAGACTAGATCGTCGAGCAGGCCAAACAAGGGCGGTGAAAAATTCACGGGAAAGCCACTCCGCACCCATCGCAGCTGAAAGAGGTAGATGTGGTCGGTGTTGCAATACAAGATACATCCACCAGCATAGCGTTTGAACCTCATTCAACTCATCCATCTCACTGTGGTCGGCATCAGTGAGCTCTATGCGATCAAGCAGAAATGTATCCGCCACAAGTACCTTGCCGTCAGGCGAAAAGGTTGCCCGTGCCGTCTCTGAAGCTGAAGCATTTTAAACCATGAGAGGTCCCCACGAAGACTTCCTGTGGTTACCATGCCTCAAATCCGGAGCCCAGGATGGGAGACCTGGAAGAGGATCTTGGGAATTATCCAGCCCACCAGTAAGTGCAATCAATGACAAAGACCCTGTTAACTCCGTGATTGCTTTTAAGGCATTGACATAGACTTGTGCTGTGGTTGCACTGTAATCTGGTACTATGTTCAGGCCATGTTTTTGATAGATACCGAGCCAGGCGTAGACTTTGTCTCTTGGATCGGTTGACTCCAACGAATGGCCTGCAAGAATCGTTCCTTCCAACCCAGTAGCTGTATCATCGCGAATATTAAGCCCTGGAAAGCTTCCCATCTCATTCTGGAGAATCTGCTTATCCTCTCGGTCGCGCTTATTGAATAAGTTCAGAAATAGCGCTGATGATGTTGTCTGGAATACGTCATCAATTGCTTTTTTCATTGCTTCGCCATGTTCGAATTTGGCAGAGATGCTCCTAAGCACCCCCCAACATCCTAAGGCTCGTTGTAAATCGTCCCAGGGGATCTCTTTCGTTCCGCATATAATGTTTGCGCGCCGGGAGACGATAACTTCTTGAACAACCCAGACACGACTCCACCAAGGGCGAGAGAAGAATTTGAGAAGGGCGAGTGATCTCAAGTCGGACTTGGACAAAGCGGATGAAAGGACACGCAGAATATAATCGGCAGGATAATGCGTTTCTACCTTCCATTCACATGGTCTTTGGAGATAGACAGTAAGCTTGATGACAACGATTGCCTCATCGGCATACTTGTCGCTTTCCCCCAGCCAGACAGTGACGAGCGAGGCATTGTGGTAGATGTCTGTCATCAGCTGAACCTGAGAAGATTTTTCGTCTTTGTCGGATTGGTTGATGCATATTGCATCTACCCAAAGTGTCGTGGGTAGGATGGATTTAGATCGTATGCGTCTGAGAGCAGCGCAAAGGTTGTGAGTCGCCTGGAAGGGAACGCCGTTGACAGCAATGGGAGAGGTAACTTTCGGATCTCCCCAGACGTATGATAAGGCGGTATACTCCGTTCCCATTGACAGTTGAGTTATGTACAGTCTACATTGGATGGGGTCCTGAAGACTGTTGGCCGGGAGAAGCTCGAGCAAGCGGATGTCTTTTCGAGAGGTGTCGAGACGCGTGGCGTAGATTGGGGCCATGATGATGTTGAAGGACCGCGAGTTATGACCGATGATTGCTGGACAGAGTAAGAGATCAATGAAGCAGAGAGTGAATAGTGGAAATGAAGTTGCGAGTGACCGGACGCAATGAGATTTTTGATGGTTTGGGTCGTTGACACAACTGAAAGGTACACTAAAACTTTGTTCAGTTAGTTGACAGCGGGGAGCTTCGCGAGTTTGGTGGGCTGACATGGAAAGCAGCTGCCTCGCGACGTGCTTTACCACACGGAAGGTGCAGATAGGGTTGGATCATGGAAGGCGTCGGAACTGGCAGGCAAGAACGAGGGGGGTGGCTGAGAAGGTACCGTGGGTTGCCCAACGTCAATGTACTTCTTTCTATTGGACAGTGATGCACGTAAGAAGACATGTCTGCTTTCCATCAGGTGTACTGCTTCGTCCAATACAGCCTTCCAGACTTCAGCCTACTCTTCGGCCTCGTTGTCTTCAGTAGGCGGCTGTGCCTGACGAAGCTCGAGCTTGATGCGCCAGTTCATGAACTCATCTGTGATGATGTCTCCGTGACCCACCTCCTCGACTTTGAACACTTCAATTTCTGCCGACCGAGGCCTTCTCTTGATCCTCCACACACCCTCGTCGGTGATGGTATGGCGAAGCCCTGAGAAGAGACTAGTTAGTCATCAATCCCAAAGCATAAGACGCTTTGCTGAACGTAAGAATGCGGAGGAAATGATAAGACTCACACTCGAGGAAGCCGTTAGCAAAGTTGACGCATGTATCCCCATCCCATTTTGGCCGCCCATTCTTCTTCACCATGAGCGGTATCTCCATGGTGCGGAACTCTTTGGTCTCAACCAGCAGCCCATCCTGCGTCCGGAATCCGACAATGATCTTGGGGACGCCTAGGAGAAAGGACTGGATCCAAAACTTCATGAGCTTACGCTCAAAGTTGTTGGCCTGGCGCTCATTCTGGATTACTGCCGACGTCTTGAGCTCCACCCAGTTGATTGGATCGCCTTGAGTCCTTGGTTTATCGTCCCATACTAAGTAAGAAAAGACGAATGATTAGTTGAGGCTGACGAGAGGCGTTAGTATAGGTAGGGGGACAAGAGCACTAACTAGCATCAACCTCACCACCGATACAGAGAATGGTCTTGCCAATGCCTGTACGGACTACTGAGCAGTATTGCTCCTTGTTGTTCACGACATGATCGGGACGACTTTCAATGAAATCGCGAGAAGTCTGGCCCCATGGTCTCGGAAGTGTGCTTAGGGTCTCAAACTTGTAGCCTTGTGAGGCGGGAGGTGTCAGCTTTCCAATTCAGCAGATGTGAAAGACGCGAACAGTTATTTAGCTTACCCCAGTACTGCATCACTTCTTGCGGAATCGGCCCGTTCCATGGCCGCTCGTTTGCTCTCGACGCTTGTTTGTATGCATGGTTTTCTTCGATAAAGCTTGTCGCCGTCAGTCAAAATAGCATGGAGGCGGAAACCATGTGGTCGCTTACATGCAACCCTTTCACAGCCATGTTAGTATGACAAGGCTTCTCAAGGGAGATGGCCAAGCGGCAGGTGTGGACGAACTCTGTAAAGGGTAGCATTCATCTCAAACCCATCATCATCAAAGGGGGCTGCCATAATCTATCACGGTGTATATAATGTTAGTGTCCGATATACGAACGACATGAAACAGCTAGCCTAAGAGAGACTCGCCTTTGTCATCATGCCTCTCCAGGTTACAATGTGAGCATCGATCGGTTTCGACGTCTTTTGCTCATAGTCGGCAATGGTGGTAAGGAGGCTGTCCAAATGTTCGTCTACACTGTCGTCATGTTTGATGAAGCTCTCAAAGCCCTTGGACAGGTCGACGTTGAGGTCTGGTGTGTAGTACCACTTCAATGACTGAGCTCCAAGATGGAACTTGTGATCGGCATCGTATGAGAAGCATGCAAATTCCTGTTCAGATAGTTAACTTCACTGGTCTCTGGATGCCTCTAGTAGGTTGTTTCTACCTTTGGCCGTTTGACCAGCTCACTCTTGCCCGCAAAGCGTGCTACAGGCTGGATTGGGAAAGCGGCGGTCATTGTAGAAAAGAGCAGTTGTCCGGCGCTGTGTATGTGGAAGAGGGTTCTAAGTCTTGAGTTACAATGTCCGAGTAGAAGGACTTGACGAGTTATCATTAAGACTTGAAGGAGGATAGATGTAGAGAAGAGCCAAGAGACAAACAAGGTGGAAGCATCTCGAGCTTGTACCTAATTCCTGTCTCATGGAGGTCGCTGCCCCTGCAGTGATCCGTCGTGCGTGAGGCCCTGTGAGTGGGGTTACGTACCTACCTAGAGGTAACGGCGGGACCCTCTGTAGCACTGTACATCCGTTTTAGGGGATCATGAACTTGGAGACTTCCACTTCTTGAGCAACACCAGCCAAATCACCATCATCGACCAACCTTGACACCCGACGACTCAGGTCTTGGGTGGCGACGAGTCAACGTCCACTCAGTAACACCTATAATTCATACCAACTGTAGACGGTCCGGGCACACCAAGCAGTAGTTCCATACTGTACAGGCATGCCGATATTGAAGTACCGCGCAACACGATAGCTCTCCCTCCTCGCGACACCCGGACGCCGAGTCAAACAAACACCATCATGGCCGACCGATACGGCCAGCAGCCGCAATCCTATCGGGGCAACAGCGGTTTCGGCAACCTTGGCCGGCGTAACGATGACTACGATCCCTACGGTGACGGATATCCCAGCGACCGCTATGGCACCAGCACCAACCCGGCTTCAAGACCGTCCACGGCCTCCCGAAATGCGCCCCCGCCCCGGTCTGCCCAGCGTGGCCGCACGGGTGCCGGCGATATGCAGATCCAGTCCAACGCCGAGCGCCAGATTGGAAACGTGCTGGATCTGATCAAGAGAGAATGGCCCGCCATGGTCGAGACAGACTGCATCCCCGTCCAGCTGGCTCTACAGCTGCTCGACACCAGCTCCGTCGGCCGCGCCCACGAATACCGCAACTTCCAGCAGACACACCAGTTCCTCCAAGAGTCCCTCAAGAACATTGTCCACGACCACCACCAAGGCTTCAACAGTTCCATTGGTACATTTCACAAGATCCAAGGGAGTATACAGTCCTCCCAGAAGAAGGTGCGCGCCCTCAAGGAGTCGCTGGCAGCCTCCAAGACGGCACTCTGCACCACCAACCCCGAACTCAAACAGCTACATGCCACGTCACGCATGTACGATGGCGTCCTACAAACACTGAACGAGCTCGATGACTTGCGCACCGTTCCAGACCAGTTGGAGGCCAGGATATCCGAGAAGCGTTTTCTGACCGCCGTCGAGGTCCTGCAGAATGCGCTACGGAAGTTGAGGAAGCCCGAGCTGGATAACATTGGTGCCCTGAGCGACCTGCGAAGCTATCTTGCAAATCAGGAGACCGCCCTCATGGATATCCTGGTGGAAGAGCTGCACGAACATCTCTATCTGAAATCACCATACTGTCAGGAAAGGTGGCAGAACCTGGCAAAGGTCCAGGGAATTTCTCATGAGACCTATGGAGACGCCCCAGGCGTGGCACCCTTCCACGGAATCTTGGACACCATTGACTGGGAAAAGTCCGTGGCTGAGGATCCCCAAAAGAATCCCGAGGCGGACACGTTTTACTATGTGACTCTCCTCGTTGAAGCTCTGAACAGACTGGGAAGGCTAGAGACAGCGGTTGACATGCTCAAGCAGAGGTTACCCGTCGAGCTTTTCGCCGTCGTCAATGAGACTATCAACGATGTAGACCAGAAGCATCCGAGCTCACTACGCGGAGGCGCGTCTGGGTCTCACGGCCTTAACATTTATGGTCACCGCGAAACCCGAATGCGGGCAGACGTCATTCACGATTTGCTATCGACGCTTTACGGCAAGTTCGAGGCCATCGCTGAGGGTCATCGGGTGCTGCACGAGGCTATTAAAGCCTTGATTCGTCGTGAAGGTGCTGGCAACAACAGTGTGCTGCTAGGGGGCTTCAAGGAGCTTTGGAACCTCTACCAAAACGAGATTCGGGCACTCCTACACAACTACGTTACCACCGATGCGGATGTTTATCAGTTCAGCCGTACACCCAGACCTGGTATGGGCATGAATGGCAGGGCGGATTCTGCCCGCGACAATCTCTTCAAATTCTCCGAAGTTGATGCCAAATCAGCCGAAATGGCCTCGGAATATGAGGCCTTGGACTCCATCATCCGGGCCGCCGTACCTGGACTTACGGACAGCACCCGGCGTGACAACAAGAAGGGTTCTTTGATTATCCCGCGATCCGAGCCAATTACTTCGAGGAAGTCGGCAGGGTACGGCTCAGGAAGCAGTCAACAGAACAGTGGCACTTACAAATCCCTGGTAGAGCCCAGCGTGTTCAACATGAGCCTGCTTCTACCACCTACTCTCATCTTCCTTCAGAGGTTGAAGAGCATTGTGCCCCCGGGGTCCGATCTGGCAACCAGCACGCTGACATCGTTCCTTGACAACTTCCTCGTCAATGTCTTCCAGCCTCAACTTGACGAGACCCTTGGAAAGCTCAGCGATACTGTCTTTGGCGAGGCAGACGCCTTTCAGCAAGACTCGGACTGGGCCCAAGTTGCGAAGCGGCCAGTGTACAAGGGAACCACAGCCTTCTTCACAGTCATCACAGCCTTTTGCCGGATGCTGGGCACTATTCCCCACGACCAAGCCCTGAGTACGCTCATCATCACCCAAATGGTCCGATACTACGACCGCTGCTTCAGCTGGTACAAAGCCCTGGTCACCAAGACACAAGAAGGGGGGGACAAGCAGATCAGGGAAAAGGAAAAGCTTCGGGCATCTGCCATTCTCGCCACCGAGCCTAGTGAAGTCCGCGAGACGATACAGAGGCTGTGGAAGTCGGAAAACCTGAACGATCTGGAGCTTCTCTACCGCGAGGTGAACCAGCTCATCGCGTGGGCCAACGGTCGGGACCTGGACGCCAGCGACATCATTCAGGATCGCGATATGATCCAGTCCATGTGTCTGCTCTACACCAGTATGAAGTGGCTGTCGGTTAAGATCCACGGTCTGCGTCACATAACGCGTAACGAGACGGACTCATCCAAGTCGAGCTTCCCGACCAAGGCGGAGAAGAAGCGCTGGACGCTGCTGAACGACCCGAGCAAAGCTACCGGAGGGGAAGCCCCCGTCTACCTCCCTATGACGGAGGAGACCGTTGAGTAAGTTTACCATCCTATCTATTTTCCTTCTTCAACCCTGAAGGGTAAAAAAAATTCACGCTTGCTAACCAATCTCCCCCCCCCCCCCCCTTTTAGAAACTTTGATAGTATCCTAGTATCCTACGACGAGCTCGCCTCCACCGCCCTCCTCACCCTACACCTTGAAATCCGCACTCGCATCCTGCACTCCCTCCAAACGGCCCTGTCCCCGCTCACCACGGCCCCTTATCTGCTCGATCAGGAAGTCAACGAGCCGGACCCGGAGATTCTCTCGCTCAACTCGGAAATGGTGGCTTACGACGAAATTCTAGTGAGATGCCTCCGCCTGCGCGAGGTCCAATTTGTCAGGAACGGCCTCGGCAAGCTGATCAACGGGTTCCTGATCAAGAACGCGCCCATGACGGCGCCGATGAACGCCAAGGGGTGCGGGCGCATGCAACTCAACATCTTGGTTCTGCAGCAGAACCTCAAGAATATCGAGGAAGGAGTCGATCTCGTGCGGGCGAGTAATTACTTTGAGATGTTTGAGCGCGGGGTGGATGCCATTCTCGAGAAAGCTCGGGAGGGCGTCGCCTCTTCTGGCTCCCAGGAAACTGGTGACGGAGGACGGAAGAGCGAAGACGCGGAAGAAGAAGGGGCGGAGACGCCCAACTCGAGGAAGTCGGCGGAAATCTTTGGGGACGATAAGGACCGGTTCAGCTACGATGAGCTCAAGGCGCTGGTGGAGCTGTGCTATAGCGAGCAGTTGGCGGATCCGGAGCGCGGCGTGGCGGCGGCGGCCAAGAGGCAGATGGCGGATAAGTTGCTGAATTTGAGCGAGTACATGTGGCAGTCTTAGGTGGATTTGCAGGACATTTAGACTTGGGCTGGTATCATTAGCATGGTTAAGAGGTAGATTCGATAATTCACGAGTGTTAATTCTTATTTTTTTTTTTATTCTCTTATCACGTCTCTCATCTCGTGTGTGTTCTCGGTTGTTTCTCCCTTCTCATATTTGTTGTTTACACTTTTATTCTCACCACTTGTTTGACACCTCTTGTTTACCTACTCGTCAGGCTTTGAAGCAGCCACTTCCCCCAGCCAGCCGAAGTTGCTTCAATATCTGATGCCGGACAAGTAGATATTTGAATCTCTATTTGTTAATTTCTCTACGTAGAGGTAGACAAGCTCCCTTCCCCTCATCAGGCGCCCCTCCCTCTTCCTTCTTCCAACATCCAAGTCCAAAGCAGATAGTCGGATCGGGAAAAAAGCCCTCTGTGACTCTGCCTCTCTCTCATCTGCTTGCCAACCTGCGCCGTTGTCAAAGCAACTGCTTAGGTAAGATATCTTCTGCATATCTTCTTCGTATATGCACACTTTGCACATGCTGATGCATAGAAAGCTTGTCAGTGCTTACCGGTCATGTGGGTAGAGTTGAGCTAGATATGTAGGTATGTAGGTATGTAGGTATGTAGGTATGTAGGTATGTATGTATGTATGTATGTATGTATGTATGTATGTGCCTCTCTCTCAAACTTGAATTGCAGCATTACCTTGCCTTGGGTGCGTTGGTTTCTGCCTTCCTCGTGGGCTTTTGCAAAGACAACGCCGGTACCAACCAGTATGTGTATGTATGTATGTATGTATGTATGTATGTATGTATGTATGCAAGGCATCCTGGAGAAGGAGATAGAGGTAGTGTAGTAGATAGGAAGAAACAACACCGATAGACGATTGTTTGTTGGAGGAAGGCAACGATACGTAGCAAAATAAGGTGGCTACTTAGATAATTCACCACCATGTTTACTTGGCTTCACGGACATATATATATATGTACCTACATATGAAGATCAATCAGATCGGTCGATTTCGATTTTTTATTTATTTTTTTTTTTTTATTTTTTTTTTATTTTTTTTTTTTTCCCAACGGTCAGACAGGAGTTGCTCGCTATGTGGCGGCAGCAGCAGCAACAACAACAACGAAGAAGCAAGCACACATGTTTGCGTGGAGGGGGGTAACTGGTTGCACAGGTACATACACTATATATCAAGAAACGTTGATGGATTGCATCCAAAGAACGATCATCGGACAAAAAAAGAAAAAGGTCAACACTACACTAAAGAAGAGATGGGTCCCTAGGCAGGCAGACAGACGGGAAGCACGGCCGGGGGACAACGGTAAGACGGAATTCAAGATTGAAAACCCGGAATTCAAGGAGCGAAATGATATCCATCCTTCAACAGGAGTTTGTTGAAAGGCCATGGATTCTTCGGGAGGGCGGCTCAAGGAGGTGGGGTGGTGGGTTGCGAGAGAGAGAGAGAGAGAACTGAAGGCCTGTGAGGTAAAGCGAAATAACGTGGAGGTTGGTGGTACTATTTGTGTCTCTAGTTCAACTGGGTAACGTTGCGAGACGAAACTAGGCAATGTCTTGAACCGATGACTAGGTAGACTTGGGGCCGGGGATGCCGTGGTGAATGAATGAGTGAAGATTGGATGGATGGATAGGACTACTACTGGGAGAAGTGAGGCAATCCTGGTGTAGTCTGAGCAGGTGGATGAGGTCTGGACGGTTCGCGAACGTGATGCGCCTTTCATGCTTGATGGATATAATATGAAGGAGGAGAAGCAAATAGAGATAGACTATCCTATCCTGGTGCCTGGCTAAGTCCTAGTCTAGGTAGTGTAAAGACCGGGAGTTGCAAGTGGAAAGTTGCAGGGAAAGGTGAACACTCGCCACCCGTCAGTTACTCCCGTCGCCTCCTCTTCCGCCCGATAATGGGAAGCGTGAGAAACTGCTGAACAAGAAATTTAGATGACGGAGACGCGGGCTGGGTTTGATTATCATGTATATGAATCATGGAAGCACAACATGGGCGGAAGAGCAGTAGCAAAGAAGGGATCGGATATCTGGTTGGCTGGCGTCGTCTGTCACTGTTTCGCGTGTCCCAAGACTTATGAAACGAGATCACCGTTCATCTCATTGGACGAGCGGGAGATAGATGACTGCTACCATGGTTAGTGCGAAGTGTCTTGGATCGAATCACCTGCTCTGTTAAAGAGTTGTGGTTTGCCCGTTGCCGTTGTGGCTGCCGTGCAAGTGAACAAGGGCCATTGCAGTGAGCAAGGGCACAGAGAAAAAGGGTCCAGGACCCGCAATGGAATTTTCCATTCCTTCAACGATTTCTTGTGTATTCCGTCAGTAATTAAAGGGGCATTCGAGACTTGGGGCAGGTGGTTCTACCGTCGAGTCCAAGTGGAAGTGACGACGGTCCCTTGTGGTGTTGGTGCTGTGTGTGGGTGGTTGTCCCTGGTTCATGCATGACAAAACCATGGTTACCGCGCACAGGCCATTCCGGATTTGATGATCCAGAACTCGGCCAACTTTTTCATCACCAGGGGCAGACTTCTTTCTTTTTTCGTCAAGTTGATGGGCAGCTAAGTCTCCTCTCAACTTCAGAGACACTCTACAGACTTGAATTCTTGGTCGTGATGAGAACCGATGCATTTTCATCCAGGTGACTAAAAGTGGTGAATGTTTTGCCCAGGCTGTATCAACAGGGGCAGGACCGATTGGACGGTATGTAACCGTAATTTTGTCATGGCAAATGCGTTTGAGCAAGGGCCAAGGGAAGGGACAAAGCTTAGAAAGTCTTGGCAAGGGGCATTTGTGCGCCGTAGGAGAAATTGCGCGCGATAGACAGGTACTTGAGCGTCATGCACAAAGTCATGGTCAAGTCAGGTACCGAGGAAACGCGCTCAGCGCAGCATCATGCTGCACCTCACCGGCACCTTGATGTCCCTGAATGATAGGAACACGCCCCGTCCCGGTCGCAGCGCAGTCGCAGTCGCAGTCCAGACGGAAGAGGGCCCGGCCGGACAAGACATGGTCGTCGTCGACAATCGCGGTAGTTTGCTCTCACGGCCTTCGCATGCTCGGCGTCTTGCGAGCAACAGTCAGCCGGGCGGACAACGCATGGCAGCCGTGTCGGTCGGAGACAAACATGTGCAATCATCAGTCAGCCGAGCAACGGTGGATCATCTTTGTACGCTCCAACGGTGACCGATCAGCATCCCATCCGACAAGTCCGCACCGTCCCTCGCTACTATGTAGACTGTAGGTACCAACCCCACCATGTGAAGACGGGACTACACTAGGAAAGTGGGAACCCCAGAGAGTCCAGCTCAACAATGGCCGGGACGGGCCATTATAGTTTGCCCGTGCTAGCATCAAGGAATCTGAAGAGGAAGAGAAATCAGCCAGCTGTTTCACAATCTGGCTATCCACTCACTACAACACTAGAGAAATATCAGGACAATGAACAAGACGGAGGGGATGGGGAAGCACAAATGGACAATGCAATTGGAAGGGGGAGGGGGAGAATGGAAAGGGCGGAAGAAAAGGGGTGGGGTGCATGGCCAACAAATGATATATCGTCCCTGTCTGAAATTGGCCCTCCACTCTCAATGGTTTTTTTTGTTTTTGCTTCGATTTTCCTCTTTCGTTGCTGAGGTGTCACTTCGTCACCGTGACTTCAGTTGCACTTTTACTTCCCTTGGGTCGGTCGCCCAGACTTTTGACTTGCACACTAGTGAAAGCACCTTGACCGCCCGCCCGCCCAGCATCAGTCCACCTACTGCCTCCCACTACATCATTGCCGCTTAGTTCCAGGTTTGATTCTATCAAAGCCCGGATGCACCGCTCGTCCTGACCGGATCTTTACTTTCCCACTTTACACTTGCACTTCGTTGTCCAACAACCCACAGACCGCATATATCACTCTCTTTTATTCTTTGCCCGTTGTTTTGTTGCTGTTTATTTGGTTGGTGTTGTTGTTGTCGTCGGTGTCGTCGTGGTTCCCTTGTGCATCCGGCAACAAGAGTGGTACCTAGAAAGCGACAAGTCTTTCATAAAAAGAATACGGGCATTCTTCTCCATCATACACCCCCCCTGCCCTGCCACTGCAGCTGCACTAAAACTTCGCTACTAAAAAAGCCTCTGCGCGCCGGGTAGCCCCGTACCAGGTACCACCTTCACTGCTGCAGCCAGCGATACGATATTCCGTCCGAAAAAAAAGGAGGCCGCTGCAACATCCTTACAGTAGCTTAGGTTCCTTCCTGCAGCCAAAGGTACCTACCGCAAAAGCCATCCACCTATCCAACTGCCCTTACACTTTTCCACTCGGCGTTACGCCACGGCCGCCCTCTGACACCCATCCCACGAAATCACAGGTCGACGACGAACTTGGCGAGAGAAAGGCGACCGACGATAACACTCTATTCGGTCACCGATAAGCACAACCACTGCTGGAGTGCGGATTACGGGGTCCACCATCTTCGACGCGGTTTCCGGAGCCTTCGACGCTTGTTCCAATCCCGCCGAGCAACAACTTCGGCCGACGGCGCGTCGAACTAATCAAGGGAATCCCCCCCTCCTTGAATCTTCGACTCTGGTCCTTTGTCCTCTCCTGTCACCAACGACGGATTGCAAGACCAGCGCAATTCCTTCTCCCGATTTCGAGCCTCTGACCGCATACATATCCTATCTGATTGCCCAAAATGGCTGGGTGAGTCGCAATCCGCTCCCTCGACACCGCTTGCGGTGAGAGTCCTTGGCTGACCGAGTTTCTTGTTATCCTCTACCAGCTTATTCAAGGACATCTGGCATGCTATGACCAGTTATGATCGACGTTAGTGCTTTCCTTCCCCCTACCTCCCCGTCCTCGGCTCCATCGCTTACATTTCATGGTTGGGAAACAGATGCTGGCATCGACTCTCCTTACAGAACTGGACGTCATGTCCCATTGAACCGGAACTCCGGTCTCGCGGGCGTTACTACCGCCTCCGACTCGCGTGCCGATATCAACTCTCCCTACCTCCAAGGAGATGGCCGTGGTTCTACCATGAGCTTCGACACGGCGTACGGCGGACGCGCCATATCTCCCATGCCGAGTCCCGCCAACGGTGGCCCCTATTCGCCCGGCCTAGTGAGCCAACGACAATCCGTCCACCAGGACGCATTCGATGTACACAGCCCAACCGGCGAGATTCCCATGCAGAACTTCCAAAATGGCGGTCCGCCTCCTCCACCAGTCGCCAGCTCCTGGGAGAAAATTGACAGATGGGCCGAGGAAAACTACCCCGAGTTGTTCGACCAACTTGGCGAGGGCTGCACCGTCAACGATCTGAACGAACTCGAATACCAGCTTGATTGCACCCTTCCCCAAGATCTCAGGCAATCCTTGCAAATCCACGACGGCCAGGAGCGCGGTGGTCTTCCCACGGGCATTATTTTCAGCTCCATGTTACTTGACTGCGAAGAGATGGTTCAGGAGTGGGAGAACTGGAAGACGGTGAACCAAGAGTTTATGCTGGATCCCGTGCTCGTCAAGCGACAATCTCAGGCATTTGCCGCTCAGGCCTCATCATCAAAAGACGCCCCTAACCGCAACCAAAACTGGCGACAAGAACTTCTCAACAAGCAGGATTCCGTCCCCCCGGCCGCGATTCAGAAGGCGTATGCGCACCCTGCCTGGATTCCTCTCGTTCGTGACTGGGGCGGCAACAACTTGGCTGTCGATCTGGCGCCTGGACCAAAGGGCCACTGGGGTCAGATCATCCTCTTTGGTCGCGACTACGATACAAAGTACGTCGTGGCCCGCTCGTGGGCGCACTTCCTTGCCATGGTTGCGGAGGATCTCAGCAGCGGGAGGTGGTTTGTCGATGAGGACACAAACGAGCTCAAGCTGCGTGAGTTTAAGGCAACCCGTGTTGAGCCATCTTATTTCGAGATTCTGAGGTGGAGAATGGATCAGAAGTATGGCCGCACAGCCAACAAGCGCAAATCCATGGCGCCGTCCATGGCGTCGGCTTCCGGCATGCGCTCTCCCCCCACTCCCGGCTCTCCCTACCAAAGCCCAACAGAGCACAACGAGCCTCGTGGCCGGTCGCTACACCGTCTCACTGGCACTTCACCCATGTCGAGTCCCATCCGACCAGGTTACGGAAAGCCAAGCCCATTGGCGCGCGTTGCTGAGGAGGCACCCCCCACAACCTCTCTCACGGCTAGCAACGCTTCCCTCGAGGCCAAAGCCGCCGACAACTTGATGGAGTTGAACACCCCAAGGACAAGCGGAGAGCATAGCAAGGAGGATATCAAGGTCAATGAGGATTCTCCCGCCAAGGATAGGACAAGCGAGGATAAGGAGAAGAAGCCTGAAACCGAGGCGAACGGAAAGGCGACGGAGTCAAAGGGCAAGCAAACGACAGTCGAAGACGCCGAGGACATGAAGGATATCGAGATTTGAAAGGGAACAAATCGAAGCGACCCAACGAACTCGTCAACTCATGGGTCACCATTGAGTAGCTGGCCCAGCAAACTGCTTCCTCACCATGCGCAGGGCACGGAGTCAGACAAGGTGTAATGTTCCTCCCTAATCTGATATCTTGACGCCTCCTCGAGCCAGATGTCCTCTCTTTGGCCGAATACAAGGGCCATCGCATGATGAAGGGGCAGGTCACGAATCTTTCTCTTCCCATTACTTCTTCCTCGCCACAATACGATTAGTCTCTATTGTCTGATCGGATTCTTTCATGATGCGGAGGTTTTCTCTGCGTTGTCCTCTCGCCTGTTTGGCCAAGGAGAAGGGGGTTTTCGAGGGACAATCTCATTGCATCGCCAAAGTTTGAATATTGCATGTACACTAAAAGGGGATCATTTTGACTTCGACTGGTGGGTGGGACCTTGTTGTGGTCTGCCCGACGCCGCCCGCAGAAGACATTTTCAGCTTTGCACTATTGTTTACTATTACACCGCATAGCGTCATAATAACTCTTTCTGTCTTTATTTTCTGCATCCAAGCTGTCTTGGCTTCTGGAGGGGAACTGTGGTTACTTACTTCCCCTGGTGCTGTCGCTGGCTGGTTGTCAGTCATACGGAAGGAAGTTCACGCTCGGATGCTGAGTTGGTACCGTTGTCTGTGATTTATCGAACTCGGAAGGCGCTGATTTTTTATTAAAGTTAGGACTGTTATTAGGGGGAGTTCGAAGAGGGTGGTCGGGGACAAGTGCTTTGTATTTACATGGGAAGGGTATAGACATGGATGGTAGGCAGAGAATCAACAAAGCGTAAAAACATAGGTACTCTTGCTCTTTCATGCGACATCGGTGCAGATTCAACATTTGTAACAAAAGTCAACATGCAACAATGTCACCACAAAGGCTGTCACGTGCCACTTGAACGCTTAGACCACAGCCTTGGGGACGGCTGACCCACAGTAATTGGACAAGCAGGTCCCTGCTTTCAGTGGAGCACCTGCCCGCCAGCCCGCTCTGGCACCGCGTCGTCATCCTCCAGTTCCAGATCGACGACAAGCTATCAGACAGCAACACCAACAGCATCGTTGCCCAAAGAGTTGCTCCGGTCACGTTTATTATATACTACTTTACCAAGTGGCCCACCGATAGACGACGATTCCGCAATTACGCGCAGTCATTTCTACAACCCAGGGCGACCGATACCACCGACGGACGACAGATAGGCATCTCAGCTCAGCTCTAATAACCACCACCACCACCACCACCACCACAACTCCGACTGCTGATACCGAATCGCGATCGCATCGTCACCTAGTTAAATTTACCCTGGGCTTGCGACACTGCCGTGGAAGCGCAGAAGAAAAGAAAGGCATACAAGAAACAACACGACACAAACAAATGACCATGTCGGAAGAACGCCTCTTTAGATTCTCCAGGCCTGAATGGCTTAACAGCGCGTGGGTGAGGAACGCAGGGGTTTATGCTGCTGGTGCTTTTGTACGTTCTTCTCCTATTCTTTTTCTTTTTTTTTTCTTTTTTGGCGCCTATTCTCTGCCTATTCTCTCCTTCCCGGACCTAACGTTGTGACTCTGCCATGATACCATGCCACGATCCTCTACTCGCTGTTATGGATCATACATAATCGTCTTCTTCCTCCTCCTCCGCATGGACGTACAGCCGGCTAACACCGATACACAACTTGCAATGGAAATCCAGTTCTCCCTAGCCTTCTACACCCTCCTCGACTCGGCCGTCTGGTCCCACTCCCCCCTCAACGCCTCGGACGTGCACATCCACTTTGTCGACTGGCTGCCCTTCATCTTCAGCACGCTCGGCATGCTCATCATCAACAGCGTGGAGAAGGCTCGACTCTCTGCCGAAAGCTTTTCCTACAGCGGCAGCGGCGTGGCGTGGAAGGCGCGCGTGGTCTTGTTTCTGGGGTTTGCGTGCCTGGCGGGTGGCATGGCGGGTGGCGTCACGGTGTTTGTGCTCAAGTATGTGGTGAAGGATGTCGGGTTTCCGGCGTTGAGGATGGGGGTCGAGAACTTGGTTGCTAATGGGTTGGTTGGGTTGAGGTGAGTTTTTTTTGCAATTCCTTTTTCTTTGGTTGTTTTTTGGGGGGTTATTTTTTGGGTTTATGCGTGGGTAAGAGAGAGTTAAGAGGTGGTAACGAGGAGCTGAAGAGAAAGTGACGAGGAAACAAGAAGAGAACCATGATCTCTGCAAGTCCACATGCTAACAACCTCTCTTCAACAACAAAACAGCGCCGTCGTCCTCTGGATCTCCCAAAACATGGAAGACGAATACTCTTACAACCTCGCGCTGTAAGATGCGGTTCGGTTCGGTTGTGTTGGGCTTCAAAGAGTATGGCTATGATCGACCTCTCGTCTCGAAGATCCCCGCCCGCACAGACATATATACACACACATATATACACACCACCCACAGAAAGGCAAAAAAAAAAGACAAAAACAAAAACACAACCAGCTCTACCTACTGCTACCAAATACGCACTAGATCTACGACACCAAGTCTCCCCCCTCACAGCAAACAGGTCTGACGAAGTACCTCCCAGTCCGGGGCAGGGTTGAAGAGGAGGGACTTGGGGGTTGAAGTAGAGTAGAGGGAAGGTAGGGTTGGCTACGGACTAGAGAGAAAATAGGTCTTTGTGCCGGGCACACCGAACTAGGAAACCGCATGTAAGGACACGGTTTTCCTCGTCCTTGTTATGAACTGGATGAGTTGGGATGAAGTGGAACGAACAGGACATGTATACTTTTATTGATATGGAAGGACTATGGAAACTTGCGCCTAGGGAGACGAGTGGTTGAGTTGGAGGGATCACTTGGGTAGCTATTGATTTTGCGTTGGGATCACGCTAGGGCTAAGTTATGTAACGTTATTGAACGGAATCAAAGGAAAACAATCCAAAAAAGTTATGGCGAAGGCTGTGGAATCTCAAGAACAACAGCTCCACGTTTCTAGACTAATTTTAGATGTTCAGCATCGTTTACTCTTCTCAGTTATCTACGTATCATCGATAGCCAAATGGCATGAAGACACAAGCAGATCTTTTGAACTAAGCTTCCATTTTATGTACCTCCCAACGCTATGAAAACCCCATCCAGCCAGACTACTGAATCGGCTGGCCCTTTATTGAATATGAGCCCGAGAAAATGACAACCCCTTCCAACCACCAAGTTCTAGTATAACCTCATTCTTTCGTAAAGGCATTCAGTAATACGAGACAACTGTTCAAGCAGTCACCTCAGCAGCCGCATCAACAGAATCAACAGCCATATCGTCCCCCTGTGCCGGCGCCGCCGCCAGCTCCGCAGCAGCAGCAGCCGCCTTCCTCTCCCTCTCCTTCCTGGCCTCGACAATAAACGCCTCTTCAATCGCGGCTCTACGCTTAAACACCCTAAGCCAGCGCTCGCCCCACCTCTTAACGAGCTTCTCCGTCTCGCTGGTCCCATCACCCTCGCCCAGACCATCGCTGGCCTCAAGCATCTCATCCTTGGAACCCGACGCCCAAGCGAACAGGGCATCCTCAATGGCACGGAACAACGAGCGCATGCCGTTGATCTCAGCCTCAATGGTCTCGTCGTCAATCATAGCCTCGGGCAGTGTAGCCTTCTGCAGTACCTGTCTCAGACGGGAAGTGACCTTGACGACGGTGTTGAACACCATTTCGTACACGAAGCCCTTGGCGAGCGCCTCGCCGTGGGTGGCGCCGGCGTACATGGTGATGGCCCAGTTGATAACGGCCTGCGGGGTGAGGATGCTGTAGTTGAGCAGCTTTTCGATGATGGCAATGGCAACGCCCGGGTGGGCGGACCAGTACTCCATGACTGACGAGATGATCTGGGTGCGGGCAGCCTCCGAGGTGGCGCCGGCATCAGTGAGGCGCTCCTTAGTGCGCTCGATGGCAGCGAGGACGTGCGAGAGCGACTTGGAGCCGACGTGCAGAACCGAGGTTACGAAGACGTCGGTGCTGGCTACGAGAGGGTCGAGGTTGTTGTCCAGGGCGAGCGAGTGAATGCGCTCGATGACGGGCTCAATTTCTTCCTCGGGCGCCTTGCGTCTGAGCAGAGCGGCGATCTCCTTGCCCTCAGCGGCGAAAGGGGTTTCTGTGATGTGTTAGTATCAAGTGAATCAATCTGTCCAATAGTGCTGCAACTTACTGTCGTCCGCAAATTTGAAGTCAGGAACATCCTTCTCCTTCTCAGGTCCGATCAAAGACTGATAAGGCTCGGGAAGAGTGTTCTTGATACGCTGAGCAAAGCTGAGACGAATCTCCTTGTCAATGGCGCCCATGATGAAAGCCTTGTCCGGGTGCAAGTTGGACAGATAAACATTGTCCACCCACTCGGTCCACTTCCAGGTAAATCCGAAATTGCTCAAATGGTGTGAGAACCAATCCATGAACCGATTGGAAAGCTCCAGGTCCATGCGGTGGCTATTCCTGTAAAGGAAACGAATAGCACGACCTAAGCTGGGAGCAATGGCAGCCGGTGCCAGCTTGCAAGCCTCCGTGAGGACGGCATGGTAATAAACAAGCTTGTGCTCGGGATTGGGCAACGAGAAGAGTTGCGAGAAGACCGCGTCAACAGCGACATCCTCTGGCTTCCAGCTGGATTTGGGAGGCTCAATCTCTCTAATCTTATCGAAAGGTGTCGCTCTAGCGGCAAATGTTCGGGGTGCAAAGTAGCAGTCGAGTTCGATAAGGAAACGAGCAGTGACATTGCGGTTGAAGTTCAGGACATTGATAGTGTCAACAAGCGCATCGCGAATCAGGGAGGCTGCAATATTCGTCAGAGGGGGTGTCGACTCGACGTCTTGGTTGGCGTAAACAGAAAAGTAGATTTCTGGGAACAGGGGCCGAGGTCCGGCAACAACTGTCTGAGGGATCGAAATTGGCGGAAGGGTGTGCTTCTCGGCGTTGGCAATCTTCTCCTGCTGCTCGACTTCTTCGACGGGAAGCTCCCAAGGCCTCGGGAGGCAGCTCAAGGCCCACCCGTTGTTGGCCTCGTTCTGGAGCTGGGTTTGCAGCAAGCTGATGCAACTCTGAGACGCAACAGGGCTCTGGTCGCCGGCCTCGGGGTGGTAGGGCTCAATCAAGGCCTGTAGTGGGTGTGCTTCGCCGGCGATAATCTCGGTCTTCTCCATCAGATCCGCCGCCTTCTGTTGCCACTGGGTTGGCCCAGTAACCATAACGTATGGTAGGGTGAGGAGGATGATCTTAACAAGCTCCGTACCAATTGTCTGTTGCAACACTCGTGTCAGTGATTTGTTTCCAAGCCAAGAACGCAGCCGAAACCAAGCAGGATAGCTCACATCCTCGGAACTGGCAGTCTGCAAGTCCACAGCGCGGCTGAACAGCTCCTCCAACACGGGGAAGACACCATCACCCTCCAGACAGCTTTGCAAGCAGCCCGCAAGCTTCAAGTAGAGCTTCACATCCCGCCAGTCGCCCTCGGCAATCTTAGTCTCGAGAGTACTCGTAAGCTTGGCGAGAAGCATGTCGACGATCTGGGGCTTGTTGGTGTTGGCGACGAGCACAACGGCGGCGAGGAACGGCGTCTTCATGGGTTGCTCGACCGCAAGCTGGAGGACAAGGTCGACAAAGTTGGTTCGAAGCAGCTCATCGTCCCAGTTGTCGGTAAACAGGTTGGCAATCGATTGCACCTCCTCATGCCAGGGACGCATGGGGTTCTCGGCAATGGCAAGCAGCTGCTTTCGGACGCGGACATGGGGAGGAGCATCGAAGCGTCTTCGCGGGCCGCCGCGACGATCGCCATCATCATCGTCTGTTCGAATTGAACACACTGTCAGTTACAAGCTGTTCAAGCAGGGTTTTACCAGTGATATGAGGATGGTTCGACAGGATCCTAAGCAGGAGGCAAGGCTGAGACGAGCATAACTATAGGTGGAGGAAAGGCAAACGGGAGTACTTACCACGATAGCGACGCTTCTTAGGGTTGTAACCACCGCCGCCTCTGCGATCGTAGTCGGCCATGGTGTGTGAAGCCCGGTAAGTCAGATAAAACTAAAACGTATCTGAAAAGGAGAAAATATGTAAGAGGACTGGACAGAACAGAATGTCCTGGCAATACTTGTGGTGGATGTTCTGGCGTTACGTGACGACTGAATAAGTTCAGACACGGCTGGTGGTTGGCGGCTGGCAGGCTTGGATTAATTGGGAGAATGGAACGCTATGGGGGAAGGGATGCTTTGGAACTTGGGCCTGTCGCGCCGACGCGATTGGAGAGTTGCGGAGACCTAAGCCTTTAGTGCACAGACTCTAAGTGTATGTGGAGATGATCTCATGCTTCACGGTAGGTAAAGTTAGTTGTAAGAGCCTGCAGATCTGCAAATATGACCGCATCAAATGCATTGAAGCATGAAGGATCACCATGGTTCGTTAGGCTAAACAGAAGGTTTGGTTCTACAAAGATGCTACGCGAAACTGAAATCTTGACCTTGTTGAATGAATCCTAGCGGACATTGACCTCTCAAGGATGCTTACTGGTGCCCATATCCGCATAGGGTTACAATTCACCAATTTTGACCATCTTGGAGAGAGCTCATGATCCAGACGCCGGAACTCTTGCGGAGCTTGAAACGTATAAACCGTGAAATTCATGGAGCTCATAATAAACTAAACCTCTTGAAATTTTATGTGACCCCCGAATAATAACTCAGAAACGATACAACCCCAAAGAGAAAGGGCTTGGTCAACAAAAAGTTGAATCCAGCATGAACTCCACCGCTTTTACCATCTACACTTCTCCTAAAGGTACACAACTCCGTGGACCTAAGCCGAAACCTAGACATGCCGGTTGCCATCCAACTGCCTATCCATCCGGTTCTTTCATTGTCACCCAATCATGTGAACCACTGATCCGTCATACTCATTGTAAATCGTTCACCCTCTCAAGACCGATTGGGACCCCCTCAGCAGCCCACTCTGAGGACACAGACACATGAGACAGGCACAGAGACGCACTAGAGACACGAAAAGTGGTACCACCCATCCTTCTCATAACCTCGCTGACACTCGTTATAGCAGGCAAAACCATACAACACCTAAATGCCCCACCTCCATTCACCACTCCGAAGCCTATCACCCACTCCAACACTGTCACCCTATATGCCATAATCCATCATATCATTGATGCCGCCCATCTTTCCTTTAAAACCAAAGCAACTTGGCGAGTGGCCAGTGTCCGACGAGGTCACACAAAGCAAACAAAGCTTTCCCAGCCTACCGCCTTCCGCCTTCCATCTTGTGGACGCCTGCCACGGGAATAAAGAGCGCTCCTGCTGAACGAAAGGTCTGAGGCAAGAATAAGCAAAAGCCATCCCGGTCATGCAGAAAAATAAGAAATCTAAAAAAAAAATACGTGTAGCCCATAACATGTCTTGAGAGTATCCTCCCATGAAACCAAGCAATTTGTGAACCAGTCCCTTTCGCTGAGGGAAGTTGCTCGGAGACGTTCTTGGTTGTCCCGGGCTCTTCTCGGCCTCCAGGCCGGCACGAATTTTTGCACGGTTGATCCAGCGCACTTGTGATGGAGGGGTATCTGTGCGTCGGTTTAGGCCGTGATCTGAAATCGCTTTCGTTTCGTCCAGGTGGACGCAAGAATATCCGTTCTTCGGTTTTTGGGTCATAATCGGATCGGCGAGTCAAACCGCTTGCTTCGAAATCTTAGGCAACGCTCTGCTATTCGGAAATCACAGCGCATATCGTCCACGTTCATATTTCGGGGATGGATCGGCGACATTGAGTATCGAAACGACATCAGCTTCAGTCTAACTTGGCCATCATCTCCGACTTGTTCATAGGAGTGAAGTTGTCAATATCGAGTCCTTTCGACGCGAGAACCGGCCTCATGTGCGAAGGAACAAGCTTGTGGTTGAGCTGGGGGGCGATGGATAGCTCTGTAAAGAGATAAAAGCGTCAGTTCCTAAAGGTTCCCTCAGCGGGGTGAGACGATATGCGAGAAAAGTACATACCATGACGGGTAAAGTCAAAGAGCGGTGGCAGATCCCTAACGGTTCCAGAGTTGTGCCTCGAGTCGGGAAGTCTGGTGCTAGGGTCCCGGAGTTCATCGAAGAAGGGATGGACCATGGCATCAATCGCCGCCAGACGCTCGGTGGGGGTATACTCAAGAAGGCGGGCGATGAGGTCGATAGCATCAGCGTCGGCCTTCTTGAAAACCTTGTTGAACGGATGAGGCTTGATCTGAGGAAACTTGTGTTCCATATAGTTCGGGTTCATGGTTCGAATCTGCTCCCGAGTAGGTGTTCCGAGGACCTTGATGATCTCCACCAGCTGGTCAATGCCAGACTCTCCGGGGAAGAGGGGCTGCCCAAGCATGAGCTCGGCCATTACGCATCCAGTAGACCAGACATCTGCACAACATGATTAGCCAATGTCTGAGACATGTGCAACGAGGCTGGTACTCCCAAGAGAACTCACCGATCTTGGTCGTGTAATTGGTAGCACCGAAGATCAATTCAGGTGCACGGTAATACCGCGAGCAGATATAGGACACATTGGGCTCGTTCTCCACCAGGATCTTTGCGCTGCCAAAGTCGCACAGCTTGAGGACACCGGTAGTAGGGTCAAGCAGGAGGTTCTGCGGCTTGATGTCGCGATGGCAGATTCCTTGCGAGTGGATATATGCCAAAGCCCTGAATAGCTGGTAGGTGTACAGCTTGACTTCCAAGATGGGCATGGTGGTCTTCATCTTGTTGAAGAACCTCGAGGCTCGGTAAACGGTCTCTGGAACAAACTCTTGCACCAGGTTGAGGTACACCTCATCTTTCTACAAAGACAATGAGTATGAAAAGCATGGCAACGAGCTCCAATGCGTTGGGGACTTACACGTTCGCCATTCGAGTAGTAGAAGGCCTTGAGCTGGACAATATTCGGGTGGCGAACAATCCGCATGATTTGAAGTTCGCGGTTCTATGTGTCGGTCAGTTTCATAAACCTGGAGACACGTCGTCCAATACGGTCTGTACCGACCTTGAAGCGCTTGTCCTGGAGAACGCGCTTGATGGCGGCATCTTCGTTGGAAGGTGACAGCTTGGTCTGGAAGACGACACCAAACGAGCCATTGCCGACAATCTTGCATTGGGTGTACTGGATCTCCCGCGTCTCTCCTGTAACGCCGTCTTGTACCTTCTCACGGATAACTTCTGGAATCCATCTTTGTCAGCAATTGGTCCTGCCGCTCAACTTGACCATTCACTCCATATGCTCACCTCCCATCCGGAGGGTGTTGAAAGCCGCTGGGCGGTTCGACGCCATTGTGAATTAAGTTTAGATCGATTCGGTGCTATCGCTCGAGGTATTCGTCGACGGAGTTGGTGGCAGCGATGCGCGAGTGAAGGAAGGTCGCTGAAGGATTGATGCGGGCCGTGTTGGGCAACAGGTTGTGTGGAGACGGGGCAACTGGGTTCACGGCTGATGGGCTTGACGTCGGGCCTGGATGCAGCAGTGATGTTCCCTGTTCGCTTGAAATGGAAGCAGGATGCGAGGCGGCGCGATGTGATGCGTAAAGCGTTGTGCTATATTCCTGTACTTGAGTCCGTAGCAGCTCTGGAGCTGGTGATGGCTTTTGGGGTATTTTTGTTGTTTGCGGGGGGGTTGTCTCGAGCTGTCAAGCTGAAAGGGTTGTAAGACGGAATGAAGTGGTTTGGCGGCGCGGGAAAGCGACAAGTGGGCTGAACGGACCAGTAGAAGAGGTACGGTTAATGGACGCGGAATGCGGCAAGGTGCGCCAGGGCTGGGCGATGGTAGTGCGTCAGGTGCGGTATGAACTGTGACCGTGACTGTGGACTGACTCTGGAGGGGTCTGTCGCTTGTCTCGACTGTCTAAAGGGCAGCACAGACGATTAGAAAACAGGGTCTCTTTACAGGAACGAGGTCGTTTTTAGGAGAAGAAGCGGGCGGGTAGGGGAAGTGGAAGGACTCAAGGTAGGAGATGCTGAATCGAAAGAGGTCAGGAAGTGGAAGGGGACTGGGTGGTGGAAGTGGAGACGGGGATGGGGACGTTGCGAGGGAACGTCAAGCGGGATTGAGATGAAAGGAGAGTGTTGTGCTTGTCCGCTTGAGCAAGGGAAGGACCAAGGGTGCAACGTGCATACAGATGGAGAGAGAGCAAGAGCTGGACGACCTCGAAATTCGGCCGTCAGGAATCGAACTGGAACTGGGACGGAGTGGAAGTGAGGTAAGGTAAGAGGTAGGTAGGTAGGTAGAGGTAGAGGTAGAGGTAGGTAGGCACTCGGTCTTTGGAGGGGCGGGCCATGTTAAGGCAGGCCAGGTGTAGCTTAATGAAATGACGGCGGGGAATGACAGGGCATGCAGTGGCGACCATACGCAAGCCTAGCTTAGCGTCCATGGGCAGAGAGGCGCCCGCACGCCAGGTCAAGTGAGTGGTCTGCAGAAGACGTCCATTGATGCAGGGCCACCATGTAGCTATGCACTCGAGGTGTGATCGAACGCTGAGCGGCCACGAGGCTCGCCAGCCCTTCTTTCTTGCTGCTGCTGCCGTCGGTCGAGGTGGACAGCACACTGAGTGCAACTGTTTGAACCCGACGACGACATAATCCCAGAGAAAAGGAGGCATCGCCATGGCTGGGCCTGGCTGGCCTGGCTGGGCTGGGCTGGGCTGGGCTAGCACTAACAGGAACAAGGAAGACGGGGAGCCGTGACTCGGCAAGGGTTTTGGGAGTTGTTAGGTAGGTAGGTTATTTGGGTTTGCGACTTCCCGTCGTTGCGACTTGTGGACTTTTTTTGACCTTTTTTTTTTTTTCTTGCGACCCGCGAGCAACAAAACCTGCCATTCGTGCCGTGCACCAAATGGTGTACTTGGGTTCTGTGCCTGGGTCGGGCGTTTCGTGGTGGGTTCGATCCTCTGATGAGCATTGCGCCAGCAGCAGCAACCCAGACAGTGACAGGGTGAAACTGGAAGTGGGATGGGGATGCCATCAGCCCGGCGCAAGATGAGGGGCAAGGGCCACAGTCCGACAACAATGCCAGCAAACCACCGGAAAGCAGCAGGCGACTTTGACTTTGGCTCATGACCATGGCTTCTCTTTGGAGCCATAACAAAGCCCAAAGCCTTTCCATTCCTTCTCGCTGCTGCTGCTGCTGCGTCGTCTTGTGGAAACTGGACTTGGCCTTCCTTCTTTACAAAGCGCTCGACCAAAACCCGTTCCGCTCATTCACAATGTCATGCCAGTGTGCTACTTGCACGTCTGGTGAGGTCAGATGGCCCAGAGACTTGGCGCGCCGTACCTGCGATGCAGCCAACCAGAGCAGGCAGAAGAGGGGTTGGGGCTGGGGACCTGGGAAGGGGAGGCAACAAAACGGGAGGCCAGGGTCGGGAGGGAGCTTTTTCCTTGTGGAAGGCAGAATGACAAGTGACAGTGACAGTGACATGGAGCTGAGCAAGGGGAGAGCAGCTCAAAGCAACGCAAACAGAGAACTAGTAGGGAGCATCTAGAAGGACGAGGGGGTGTAGATATTTGAGGAATGCCAGAACCAGAAAGGTGAAGAGGAGCGCGACGGGAATCTCAACGTCGGCTCGGTGCTAGATGAGGTGCATAGGTAGGAGTGCAGAAAGAACTAAGGGGTAAAATGTAGTTATGGGAGCTCTACCTAGGTAGTAGTTAGATGGACTTACTGTTCGTCGTCGTCGGTGGTGTTTCTCCAAATGCGCAGTGGGTTCGTTAATTGCTCTGCGAGGGGAAGCTGAGCGCACGCAGAACCTCGTCGGTCTAGTTGTGAATCGACTCTCTTTTTTTGGTTTGTTTGTTTGGGTTCGCAGGGCTGGGTGACGTGACGTGAGCGACGGGGACTTTTTGAAGGTGTGTTTTAGGAAATGGTAATTGGTTTTGGTTTTGGGCTACTTGGGATCGGTCGTGGCTCGCGGTTGGTGGTGAGGGGTCACGATTGCCGTCGTCACTCCAAGCCGTTGGTTCAATGCCTGTCGAGCCTGGGTGGGCTTTGGCACCAGAGAGAGCAGCAAGCAGACGCACGTCCCGGTCAACAGGTCGTGCAATGTGGGGCCTTGCAGCGCAAAATGGTTGCCGTCTGGTTGGTCGCACCGGACGGGGCCCCAGCAACCTAAAAACAGACTAAAAGAGGGAAGGGGGCCGTTTGCTAGGGGGGGGGCTGCTGCTGGTGTCTTGCCTGCCCTGGAGTTTACCAGCATCAGCAGGCAGGGTCCATTTGAGACGACGTCGTGATGTCGTCTGGTGTTTTTTGTTTACAGGATGACGGGAGCACAGGGCATCGGTGGGAGCTGGCTGGCATGCCAAGTACAAAAGGGGACGGAGGAACTGGTGAGACTCCAGTGGAGGCTACTGTAAATGTAATATCCATTCTATCCAGCAGCTTGAGGATTCGCAAAAACCGCACCAACATGGAAGGATATGATGTCTTGGTCTTGGATTGACGGTGGACGGGGCGGGGGCCTTGAGGTAGGTTACATGCACTATTACGGGTCCAGTCCTCAATAAGTGGAAGGCCTGTCGATGCCGTTCAACAACGTTCAGGGTGCGGGCCAAAAGCGGCTGCAGCGCTCCTTGCTAGTGGCCAGTGCTCGCTGGGTGCGGGACTGCGGGTAGCGTACAGCAGAGGCTGCGGGAGCAGGGGCCTTCCTATTTGTTGGCCGGTGCCGCAACACGCCAGGAGGCTGGAGGTCTGTATCGTGTGATGCGAAAAAAAATGATAAAAAGTGGAAGCGTCCTGCGTCCAGCGGGGATGTTGAGCAGCTGTGACGTGAGTCCAGGATTCACGGGTGCCAGATTTCCAGGGGACTCGAGGCCACCACCCTCAAGTATGTACCTACATACATACGTACACTACATACTAGGTACTCGTCGCCTCCGCTCCGGGCCACTGGGGGCGGGCGGACCTGGGCGGACTCGGTGGCTCCGTCTCGAGGCGGGGGCGGAAATAGCCTCAGCGGCCAGCGGCCAGGGACGGACAAATCGCCAGTGGACCACTCTGAGCTGTCTTTGTCTTGAGATTCGATGGCCAGACGAGGGGCATGTTGGGACCATTTGATTTTGGCCCGGGCTCAACTTTGCTCACTAGATGACTCCATACCGTGGAGCTGGTTGCTCGGATTCAGGTACCGAATTCGAGATTTGAGCTTTATCAAGAATAGGGGTCGACGCCCCTCCGCGATATTTGCTATGTAAGTACTACCCTGCCCATAGATGCGGCTCGTTATCTGCTGCTCGTCATAATTGCAACTCGTCCCCTTTTTTTCTTTACTTTCTTTCTCCAAAGAACATCTCGAAAATTTACCGGCAGCATAGTTTCTTTTTCGATCTCTTGGCTTTTCGTTTATGTGTGGCCATCATCGCCGTGCATGTCCAATTTGTCCCCGCTGCAGCACTTTTGGGGCCGTCTTAGCCGGTGGGATGGTTATTCGATACCTCTACACAGCTCACCTTTTTGCCTGCCGTAGGGTTACCATAGGTATAGGTATCTGATATTTGGCTATCGTCCGTACACTCGCTACAGATGAAGACGGATGGTGTAGGTTGCCGCAAACACATGGTATGTAGTTGCCTCATCACGATTCAGAAGTCGGGCACGTGCCAGGAGAGGCATCTATGTAAACACCAACCAAAGGCAAAGAGACGAAGAAGAAGAAGAAAAAAAAAAGAGAGAGAGAAAAAGGAAACAGCAACGTGGTGCAGGCAAACTCGGGTCATTCCGCCCAATACACAAATTGTTTAATGCGGTGCCACCGTGTGGGCGGTGCCTGGCCTTCCTTTTTTGTTGCAGAAGAAGCCCGCCAATGCCAGTCACGTTTCTGAGACTCGGAAAGAGCGGGCGCTAAATGCACACTTGGCAGCCTCAGCACCAGAATAAGAAAGGGAACCGCAAAGGACGACGGGTAGAGGTATTGATATGCTGATGTTGATCAACATGATCATGCAGGGTCTTTGGCGATTTCGCTGTTGCTTTGTCTGTCACTTTCTTCTGACTTTCCTTCCGAGTACGGTGCGATGCGCTCGCTGATGCAGCTGAGATTCATCTCTAATCAGACAGATATCGTGACTTTGGGGCATATGGATTGTCAAAGGTGAGGGATTGTCGGAATACCTCTCCTGAACCAACCAACAAACAAGCACTCCCTCATATCCCTCGAGCCCCTGTGCGGGAACTTTGCAGATCGCATGTCTCAAGGAGCCTGCAGACGAGATCTGTATGTCCCCTCACGAGAACGCCACGATACGGTGACAATTTCTTTCGTGTTGACAGCATGTAGAGGGAGTGTCTGATGGCACAGAGCTACACTAGAGCTTCGGATCAATGAGGCTAGTCGGGCTGTCAGGCAGGAGGCTCTTGTCCATCCCGAGAATCTAGACCACATCAGTGACACTTGATGCTCAAGGTACAAGGGGAGATCCGTTAGTACTATGTAACGAGCAAGGGGAAATGAATGACAAGTTCCCTCGGGAGAACTCCATCTCGTCCACTCAGCCGATCTGACAGGCCCTACAACAGAGGCCCAGCCCAACACCATACTCAAACAGTTTCTGTGACATGGATGGCAGTTGCTTGCCTTGGACTTGCTACCTTCAGCTGTCCCAGAACGGTAAAGATCTATGAGACAGCCCGAATCGAGAACGTTGGACGAAAGGGGTGGTTTCAGCCCATCTGTTGGAGAAGTGCAAGTACCTAGTGTATAGGATCCATATCTCAGCCTGGTCTGGTATGTATCGATTGGCAGGCTCCTTGCATACATGTCCGAGAGTGTCAAGACCCAGGTCGTACCGATATCCAAGGCCACTGCCCGAGAAACATGCTTGCTCTCACGTACATCTATCGAATTCTCAATGTAGTGTCATAAATAACCTTCCCCGGGGTGTTTATACACCAGCAAATTCCGCTGGTACTGAGGAGCCCAATAGGCATCATCTTTGGGCGAATATCTGATGCAAGCTCACCAAGCTGGTGGGGAGAACGGAGATGAAATGATCTTGATTCACGGAGAGAGAAGATGATCTGCGAACAACCTCCTCAACAACAAAGGTCAAAAGCGCAGCTAGTTGGTGGCTCTGAAAATGACTGATATAAGCGATGAGATTAGCATGACGTTGCCTGATGCCTGAAGATCTCCCAAGAAGCGAGGAGGGGCATGTGATCTAGTGGGCTGAAACGCTCTTCTGTGGTTGAGCGGCAAAGACGAAACTGCAGCATGATTGTACGTACTATCGTGAGTCAACATGCGCGCAAGCGGATTGTAACTCTGTAAGTGATCAATCCTTCGATCGAGCAAGATCAGCATCATTGAGGGCTCGTTGACTTCAGGTTTCTTACAGGCAAGTACAAACACAATTCTAGAATCGCCGTCCGTCTCCGAAGTAGATATCGAATAGTCGATACTCATGGGTCAATCTGTGGCCTGCCATTCGTACCTGTCCTGTTCACGTCAATGGTCTCCTCGATATTTACATGCATTGGAATCTGGAAGACGATGTCCAATAGCCCGGGGCCATGCATGACGTTGCACACATACACCATAGGATCCCGGAGGGCTTCTTGCCAGCAGCCCAACAGCACTGTTCATACTTGTTTGGGAGCTTGGGCTTGTACGTAGCAAACTGGTTCTTTTCTAGTCCAGGAAAGGTTTAGTTAACCATGGGGCTCAACCCCCTTTTCACCGCAGTTTACGATGGCATGCAAGTGACAACTAGGATCGCGCACGTTGTCTTACCATATCAAGTTTAGCTCCCGCTTTTAGAAAAGAATCGATTTGGATAAATAAAAACGGCAGCACCTTGTCATCAAGTCAGCTTCGTCAAAGACCGAGAGACAGGCACAAGTTACAACATGCACCACCGTACCGTACCTGTCCTGCCTGTGTACACACATACGCCCGTTCTGGTCCTACAAAAGCGGGTGTATGTCCGACCGGACTTGACTGGCGAGAACTTGGCCCAAAGAGAGGTCTCATGACCTCGCTCTCGTCACGCTAAATTTAAACAGAATGCTGCCATCAAGCAGCCGCCGGGTCGTTGGCCGTATTTCAATACGTGCAACCGCCGCTGCGCAGCAGCAGCAGCGGGAGCAACAAATACGGAACTTATCTAACGATAAGTCAGGGGCTACTATGTCAGTAACATGAACCAGACAGTGCTGCCATGATGATAATCTGTCTGATCGTGATCCAGAACTCTTCTTGGTGGTGCAGTGCAGTATTGCGAATGGAATTACTCAGCGCAAAAAGTCATAATATACGTGTACCTGATTCGATATTCAGAACTCAGACCAAACCCGAATGCTTCGGCGGCAAACCCAACTCAAAGACACCAGAGACAGCACTGAACCTGAACCCGACGCTTTCCAAAAACAAACCAGATCACGAGACATTGGCAGTGATCCGAATCTGGATCGAATATCCGGAAGTACCATCGAGCGTAGTGTAGCAGCATTCAGGGCAATCCTGGTGGTAAAAAAGAAGCTCACTTTTGGACAACCATCCTTGGTATAATGTGCCACGTGAGCTGCTCCCCTCCGCAACTTGGAACCTCGGCACGGACCAGTTCCCGGGATCAGGAATTCTGGGTTCGGGACCAATGTTTGAGGGTACTACAGTTCGACAAGGTCCAGGCGATATCGATCATGGCTTCTCTCTCGCGGATTCAGCATCACGGGATTGGGTTTGAGATGAAGACGGAGGAAGGTCCGACGATTAGGCAGCAGGCAAAAGCCAAAGGGATCATCATTTGTTCATTCGACCGTGAAGGGGTCCTAACAATACTATCATCATACAGGTAAAGCGTTGGGACGTGGATCCGGCAGTAAGATGTGGAGAAGACGGAGAACGGGGGGGGGGGGGGGGGGGGGATAGCGGTGTCGATAAGTATCGATCGGTTCGCGGGGTTCAACATGTCCGTGCCGTGGATTGCCGTCGACTAAAACCGACGATAGCGGCTTCCATCACCCGAACCCATTCGGCCTCGGCGTCGGACTTGCGCTTCCAAGACGGACTATGGATCGATATCACCGGTCGTGGCATTCCACGTCCCTGTCATCCGTCCAAAATTTTGCGATCAAATCCTGCTGCACCTCACCTGCCCTCTTGCTGTTGTGCAACAGTCTCGCACAAGAAGCGAGTGAGATGGTCCGCCAAAAACCCCCTATTAGCTGAATGGAACCAGGCATGTGACTGTCACCTAATGTGCTCAATTTGCTGATTTTTTAGGGTTGGTGGGAAATGCACCTCAATCTCGAAGCGGAAACAAGGTCGAAACCGGTGAAGGTGAGGAGAGGAAACTGTGGTTTCTCAAAAAAGGGTTTCAGCTCACGCTCGCTAGAGGTAGTAGGTATCCCACCAACAAGCCTGCTGCTGGGTGTCGGTGAGAAAACATTTCTCAGATGACTCCTGTTGCTTGTCCACAATGTCTTGCCCTCAAGAGTCGCCAAACTTGAACGAACGGAGCCGAAAAAACAACCTAAGCAAGCGGCACAGCGGGGCAGATCATCCGACATGGGTTGAGGAAGAGCAACGAACGTCGTGGGAATCGCTTATTACGCTTAGAACCCACTCACACTCGCATAGGTTCCGACAAGGGGGCTCTTAGACCAGGGGAAAGAAAAAAATCGAAAAAATATCAAATAACATACGCTATATTAGCAACGCGCACCAAAATACAATACACTACCAGAACATTGCGGCTACCAGAAATACAACACAATAGCACTACTATTCTGCTATAGAAATTAATACAAATTTAATTGCGAATAGAAGATATTTAGACTATATAATTAATATTAAATATAATTAAATTACTTCAAATTTAATATAATTACAAATATTACAAATTCTAATACTCATTTTTATTAAATATACACTATACAAGTTAGCCTAATAATAATAATGATATATTTATACTAAAAAAATAATTATTTAAATTAATAAATATAAATACTATATATTCAACCAATTTCTATTATAATATAAAAAACATATTTAATTTTATCTCCAATTCATTAACTATAATACAAAAACACATTCTACTATACTAATACAAACTACAATAATCCCTATCAATATTAATATTATTTTAATTTATAATAAATCCTATATAAAAAAATTAAAGTTTTATTATTAACCCTATTAATAACATTCCTATTAATAATAATTATTTTACTATTAATATTATTAATAATATTGCTAATAATAACTACGACCGGCTTTTTAAATTCGTACTATTAAATTGGGAGGATAGTTTTAATAATGATTTTTTTAATGAACTCCTATTCGAATATAAATTAGGAGGAAGTAATATGCTTTTTAGCAAAGTATAAATCGATAATAAAGATATATTTAATATAACTATCGAAAATATTTAGGAGTTTATAGAAGCTTTAGGATTTAAATACAATATAAATTCTTATTTTCCAAATTTACTAATTCTAATAAATTTTTATTACTATAGAGCCTATTACCGCCGAACCCATTACCACTAAGCCCAGTACTACTAAACCTAGTGCTATTAAACCCGGTACCGCTAAGCCTGGTGCCGCTAAGCCTATTACCGTTAAGCCCGTTACTGTTAAACCTATTACTACTAAGCCTAGTACTGTTAAATCTAGTATTACTAAGCCTAGTACCGCTAAGCCTAATACTACTAAGCCTATTACTACTAAACCCGTTATTATTAAACCCGTTATTATTAAACCCTATATATAAAAACTAGCGCCTGCCCTCTTCTTAATACTAATAAATTTAGTTAAAAAACGTTGCTTCTTCTTCGATACTACTATTATTATAATATTTAATAAGATTTATCTATAATCTTACTATAGTAACTTCTTTAATAATATTTATACTTCCAATAACATTATATATTACCATCGCAACCCTTTTACTAGGTAATTAAACGGGGGTTCTTATCAATATGTATACTATCGGTTATAGCCTTCAAAACTATAGAAATAAAAGTACAAATCTAAGAATATACGTATAAAATCGATGCATAAGTATTATAATTACCTAATTATAATAAAATATATCTAGTACTTTAATAGTACTATTATCTTTAAACCTATAAACCCTAGGCGTCATCATTCTTATACCTTTAATATTTATAATTAAATAAAGAAGCTTAAAGCGCTAATATAATTAATTATTAGCGAGACTATACGAGGCTACCTTCTAGCGATAATTCTACGGTTCTTTCGTAATAATAATAGCCGTAATATTAATATAGGGAAAGATATATATATTACTAGCGGTTATTAATTTACTTAATAAAATATAATTAATATTAGTAAAGTATACTAGTAGTAGTACCCTAATCCGCGGAGAATTAGTATTACTTTTTTACTTAATTATTAAATTAATAAAATTTTAAGGTATTTAATTCAAAAAACTACAACCGCAGCGGATAAAGGACAAAACGTTTCTTAATTCTATAGGGTAATTGAAATTAACTATAAAATTAATTAAACTACATTCTATAATTTCATCTTTACTTCCTTAGGCTAATTTAAAATACTTTATTAATACAACCACCTTATACTTATAAACACTACGTACTATATTAACTAATTTAAGTAACTTCTATATACAATCCTTATAAAAAATAAATATAACTATTAACTTCTTTATAACTATTTTTTAATAACGAAATCTAATAGTAATATTATAACTATTATATTATCTATACTACATAGATAAATAATTAAATACTACGGAGAGGATCGCCTATAACCACTTCATTATTTTCTTACTAATAATTCCGCTATTGAACAAAAAGCTATTAAAATAGCCTTTCCTAATTTAAAAATCGATTACCTTCTATACTACATTTACGTAAAACGGATACTAAGGCGTAAATTAATTAATAACAAATATAAAACCTATCTACAATATATACTTAAAACTATTAAATATTGGCGATCTAAAGCAACTTACAATAAATCGATAAATGCCGCTCTTACTAACTTACCTACAATTAATACCACACAAAAATATATTAATAAATATTAGGTATCGTATAAGAAATAATAGGCGAACTACGCTCGTAAACACTCGCCTCTCTTATTACAAATAATATTAACCCCCAAACGCCTCTTTCAATATATACTTTTACTAACCTCTTTTAAATAATAAATAATAATAACCAACCCTCTTAAAGGCTACCATTCTACTTTAAAATACCAAAATAAGCCTATTTTACAACAATTTTCACTATTTAATATTATTAAATACATAGTAATAATTAATAGCCAATATTTCAATAAAGCAGCTAAAGTGAAGAATAATTTTCATTATTCCATCCGTACTATTACTAACTTTCCAGGCTTTAACCGCTTCCCTAAGCCGGTATAAAGGCTATTATTACTTAAAATTTATAATAGTAAGTAGTTATATATTATAAGGGAATATTTAATTTATAACCTTCTTAATTTATCTAGGGTTATTATTATCTAACTACTAAATAATATATAAATATACAATTAGGAAGAAGCTAAATATAAGTATAAATTCTACCGTCGGTAGTAGCTACCTTATAAACACCTCTAACACTACCATTTTTTTAATAGTAATCGAACCTTATTAATAGGCCGGTTAGTACAGTAATTAAATAAATAGCAATTAACTAACTTTAAAATATACAAAACAAAGGAAAAGTAAAGAATACTAATTATTCCCGAAAAACTATAATTTGCACAAAATATTAAACAAACAACTTATAAAATTATAAAGGTAGAACTAAACCGCTTCTACGAATTTTAATAATAGACTACTCAATTATATAACGCTAATTCAATATATATAGAGGAAATTAATACTTAGTACCTTAAGTTAATAAGGGAGGGTTTTAACTATAAGCGAAGTAATCCGTTTAAAACTTTCTAAATTTAATTAAATTGAAATTTAAACTATTTACTTATTTAATTCTCGGTATTACTCTATTATAAACTAGAACTTTTTAATCTATAAAAACTCTATATAATATAAGTAGTATAGGAGAATTCAACCAAAAATACACCGAACCTAAATATAAATAATATAATAAACATTATTTCTCTTATTCTATTATATAATTTCTAAGTATTTTTAATAAGTATTTTACTAAACTTTAATTATTTAAATAATAAGGATAAACTCCCTTTTCTACGGAAATTCATCGACTAGGACTTAAACATCCTTCTTATTTACCTTTAGCGCGATAATAACCTTAAAAATTTATAAACATTCTCTAACGAACTTCTTTTATATATTAATACTATTAATATATAGACCTACACTAATAGGTTCGGCGTATTTCTAATTAAACTCTCCCCTAATTACTATTAGAATTTAAGGGGGTTAAACCCCAATAAAATTCGAACTTAAGCCTCAATTAAATTAATTACGCTATTATTAATACCCTATTATTCTTAAATGATAATATTCAATATATCGAATAATTTAGAGACCTTCTAGTAATAGGTTTAGAGTTACTAATATAATATATTAATCCCATAGTAATTATTTATATATTATTAAATTAGAATTATTACTTCTCTATAGAAGGTTTCGAATAATAATTTAATAGATTTAGTAAAATTTATTAAAACACTACCGTAGGAATTAAATTCGAATTATTACCTCTCTATAAAAGGTTTCGAATAATAATTTAATAAATTTAACAAAATTTATTAGGACGCTACCGTAGGAAGACAATACTAAAAGGTTCGCTCCCAAGTAGTACTTAATAGTATATAAATAAATTCAATAAACTCTATATTAAAATTTCGAAGACCTAAAGTACTAGAAAATACACTTTTCTATTAATAATTAATATTATTAATAACTTTTTCTCTTCGCCGGCTTTAGGGTCAGAATTTTCTTTATCGCTTAAATTGGACATTTCGGAATCCGAATTATATTTATTATTATTGCTATTACTATCGCTATTAATAGAGTTATTATTATATTATTTATAGCTTCCCTATAATCCACTACAATATTTTCGCTTCTTAATCTTTAAATTCACTGAATTTCTTCTTAAACTTCTTAATTTCATTTTTTTTACTATTTCCAAAAGACATCAAGCCGTTTCCAGGAGGTATAAAACTATTACTAGAAGATAGCAATAGAAAAAACATAGAAAAGAAAGACCTGTACCGGATTCGAACCAGCGACCTGCTGCCCGGCCGGCTACAGCTCCGTTACTTACTACCCGGCCGACCCTAGTTCTAAATTTCCGGTCCCGCCTACCTAACTTAAAGTAAAATCGATCGTAAAATCTCACATAGTGTTTTTATTACTTATAGATACTAAACGTTAGTATTAAAATCTTTTAAATAAGAGAAAGTAAGAATAATAATAATAAAGAAAAGAAAATACAATTTAAAAAAAATTTTAATATAAAAGAGTATTAAGAAAATAATAATAAAGAAATAATAAAGAACTATAAATAAAAATAAATAATAATAAAGAAGTAATAATAAAAAGAAATAATTATAGTAAAAAAATATAATAGTAAAAAAAATTTAAATAAAAAATATAATTATAAAAAAATAATAATAAAGTAAAAATAAAATAACTTATATAAATATAAATATTTAACTTTTTATAGGGGTATTAGTAACCCCCTATACCGTTAAGTAATAATTCGTAAATTGTTATTTTAACGGTATAGGGGAACTACCCTCCTATTCCCTCCGGGTTCGAAATTTCTAACGTACTAATATAGTAATTAAAATACGCTTTTCATTAAAAAACTACCTATATTTAGAAAAAAATTCCACTAGAA